CAGTACAATGTATTGCGATAGATAAATTGAAATAACCTTTATTTAGAATTGACCGACATTTTGTGCCCGGTTCAAAGTTCTAAACTAAAAGGAACTAGACGGCAGGTCCGCGCGCAATATTTTAACAGATAAGAAATATTAATTGACAATTAATTTGTTATCGAAATATTTCAACATCAATATGTAATTCTCTTCGATGCCAAGGAGGTTATGATAAAAGAGTTTTTTAATCTGCAGAACAATGGTAAATTATCTCAGTGTCGTTAAACATGGTTTTTCTTTAAAAAGTACAGTGAAAATTTATGTATTTGAGTTTTTACCACGTTTAGAATACTTATATCTAAATAAATAAATAAATAAATCTAATCTAAATGTGGTAAAAACTCAAATACCTACATAAATTTTCCCAGTGATGTAGATATATGACGTTAATAATGCCATATTATATATAATAACGATCATAGGAAATTAACTAAATGACGTCAGCATTGTATTTCCGTCGTACTAGTTAGGTATAATGACAAAAGCCTTATGTGATTACTACAAGTGATTAAACTAAAAACCTAAATATTTTTAAAGTATTAATTTGTTGAACATTTTTTCTTTTTCCCCTTTAGTTCTCTATTAAAAATGTTTCATTACAACACCGTCCCCGAAGACAATAAAAATCTATGTGTAAATCTGTAGGCCTAAAACTGTTGTACATACCTATATAAAATTTCATCAAACTTACATCTACTATAGGTACGTCAACAAACTTAAAAATATTTCGACCAAATTCAACATTACAAATACTTAGGTACTTCCAAAAATTGGCGCGAAACGAAATGTCAAAAATTCAACATGTATTTTTTTTTTTGTTACCAGGTATGCTCAAGTGGCACTGGCATGCGGGCGTGCGGCCCACCAGACAGCCATCCGTGGCGCCACCTCCCCCAACCCTCAGCTCGCTGCTTTGACTCCCAAGGTAAAAATAACTAAAACGTCGAGACGAATCGATTTTACGACAGGAAATCTCAATATTTTGGTCCTTTTGAGAAATACCATAGACTGTCTTGTTAACAGATGAGGTTCTTAACAATAGTTAGTTTCCTAATAAGGAAGAAATTATAGTTGTGATAAATTACAATCAACGGTAATAGCGTCTTCATCACTAATTAGATCATATTTCTTAATTAATCCATTGTTACTAAATACTACACGTGACAGCAGTAGGTACATCATATGTTTACTGTCCATTGTTTTACATTACAATATTAAATAAACATTACATAATCAGTAATAAATCAAAGGAAGTCCTTTAGGAAGGAAATGACAATTTCCTAATGACGCATTACTAAATTTTTAGTCATTATTAAACTGCAGGATCATTGACAAAGTGAATGCTATCGTAAATTATTAAAGGGCTTAGTGAAACGCATGGTGGTGTATGCTATTATCGAATCGATAACTTTAAATTCTTTACTTGATGGGGATGTTTGTATTGTAACTAGTAGGTGACTGGGGAAAAATGCATTTTGTGTGCACAAAAATAGTTCTGTAGATGTCTAAATGGAATTGCACTGTGAAGATACGATGTTAGACCGTGTGGTTTTCATGATTAGATGCACAAATAAAGACCCAAAAATATCCATAAAATACTTAAGTACATTAAAGCTCCATTTACCATAACCTTTTGTCACTTGGCAATATTATCCTGATTTTATAGTTTCCATAACTCCTCAGGTCACGCAAATCAAGACTCGTAGCCAAATATAAAAAAAAACATAATAATACATTAAAACCCCAAGTAACAGGCCTTTGCCACTTGGCAGTATTAGCGAATTTTATAATTCCCATAACTCCTCAGGTTCGTGCCTTTGTGGAACGTTCAGCAGCTCTCTGCCAGCCTGAACACGTCCACGTCTGCGATGGCTCGGAGGCCGAGGCTTCTGCCTTGTTGCACATCATGCAGCAACAAGGAACCCTGAAACGGCTGCCCAAGTACGACAACTGGTAAGTGGAGATGGTTTTTTTTCACAACGTAACTTGGTGAAACTCCCTTAACAATATAAATTTGTCATAGATTTTCATGAAAAGGAACTTGCAAACTTATCAATAACGCCAAAAAATTTAACTTCTTAACCGAATTTCCAACAAAACCCATTATAAATTCGACCAAATTTGCAATCAAATCTCCTTCCAAAAACTCCAAACGAAATTCGCAGTTCGAAGGCTTAAATCCTCCTTTTGCCCTCCAGCTGGTTAGCTCGCACCGACCCTGCGGATGTGGCCCGCGTGGAGTCCCGCACCTTCATATGTTCCGAGAAGGAGAGAGATGTGGTGCCCATCGCCCGAGCTGGACAGAAGTCCGCCCTTGGCAACTACATCGCCCCCGATGATTACGAAAAAGCCATCACTGAGAGATTCCCTGGATGCATGCGAGGTAAGAGGAAAATTTCGCTAAATCAACAAAAAATAGCTTTTTAGAGAGAGATAGCAAAAACTTGATGAATTTTCGCAACACCAGGTATTGGTAGCCTGTAGGATCTAAGGGATAAGGGAGTCTTTATGTTAAAAGTAATTCTGGACTCTAGATGCTATACTCTGTGGGGCAAGCGCAAGAAGGCAACCTCAGCTTGGGCCTTCGTCATTGAGAATCTAACACTTCCTTTTCTCCTCACCCTGGCGGGAGAAGTCATTTGATGATTTTCCCCTCACAAACAAAGACTAGATACTAATGCTAATTTTTGAGTTGGGCGTGGGCATTCAGAACCTTTTACCACTGCAAGGATAAATAAATGACGTGTTAACCAAATATGCACAAACATGACCTTTGCTATAATAATACCGTGTTTTCAATCAACTCACTTCTAACTTCTAAGTAAATGTTAACATGAGTTAAACACGAATGCGGAAACCAGTTGTATTGGCTACCTAGTTTTTCCTACAGAGAAGCACGTGAGACATAACAAAAGCTCGATATCTCACTAAGACACGCGTAAACTACCTACCAATGTTTATAAAACAAATTTCCAGCAAAAATGGAAACTTTATGGTGAAAAGAAGAAACAAAAGACCATTATTTCGTTCCGATATAACAATGAGAATGAATCCAGATTCCCAAAATGTCCAATCTACGCAGATCTTGGTATTAAGGGTATTGTAGGTACTTCTATTCAATGTGATCCATTACTGCCTAGTGCTGTAATGAATGTCTATATTAAATCTGTGTTTGTGTATGAATGCATGTCAGTCTGTCGGCAGACTCCCCTCAAAATCGATACAGCGAAACTGAGACCCGGGCAATCCGCTTACGCTGTACCTAATTGATAGACAGATGCAGGTACGCGGGCAGATTTAATCAACAAAAATATTCAATGATTAAATTTATTTTAATATCTACAATAAAAACTTTTTGTTGGCATCGGTTATAAAATAAAATACTGGCTGAGTGCAATAAGGTCTCTTAGTCTCTGAGAATGAAGTTGAATTTTGTTTTTGAAATTCGAACGTGGTTTTTCTGCCTATAATGTAATATTGGTATCGAACGTCATTTGTTAAAGCTATTTAAGTTTTAAATGATCGTTAATAAAGTAATTAGGTCAATTATATTCTAAGCTGTATTGATGAGATTGTTAATTAAATTTTATTGTTGTTTTGTCACCAGGCCGCACGATGTACGTGATCCCATTCTCGATGGGTCCCGTGGGATCTCCTCTTTCCAAGATCGGAGTGGAGATCACAGACTCACCATACGTCGTCTACTCCATGCGTGTCATGACTAGAATGGGTAAGTCCGTCCATCAAAAGTATCAATTACCTCAATAACACATCTACACAAATAACCTAATTTTACTGTGTACAAACCAACCAAATTATGTTGACCTTAAGGGCGTGGCAGATATTACAACAAAATACATTTCGTTTTTAAAATAACGTGTCAATTAACACTGGATGCGTTCTGCAAAATCTAGGCTTCGTTCGCCGTCGGATCGATGGAGCGGGACTGATCGTTCATCTCGCTCTAACCTAGAGGGCTGTCTATAAATAAATCTGTAGAAAAATGGCGATTTGCCTATTACGCTATCCACTCGCTATTATTATTAATTCTGACTGACTTTTCGAAATAAGGGGGTCAATCATGGGATTTTAATTATTTATTTATTAAACAATATGTAATTGTTTATAAAGAATAAATCGGAGGACTTAATGCTAGAAGAATTTTAGAATAAAATAAATTAGATTTGAGAATAAAATTCAAGCAATTCATTAATAGTAAGATCTGAGAAAAAATGTACCTAAATAGGTATGTAAAAATCTAAAAATCTAAGGGAGAGCAATTTAAGTAGGTACCAAGGTAATTCTAAAGATCCATAGTTAAAATTAAAAAAATAAAACAACCACAGACACTACTAAAACATTTATTTTGAAATAGAACACACAGACGCACAGCTTACATAATACGGCATAGACACACAATAAAGTTTTACATAGGCCAATTATCTTAAAAACAATAAAATCAATTAAATAGAACTTTTAAACATAACATTTAAAAAAAACTAAATAAATGTATATATAATCATCCAAACATTTATTTAATTAAAAAAACAAAAACCCAACCAACATACACACACATCACTTACACAAACAAAACGAAAAAACGTGTTTTTTTTTTTGTTAATGTCATATCATTATCGTAATAAATAGTTCAACATTAAAATTCGGATTACTTAAAGCTAAATTTATATTGTAAACGTTTACAAGAATACACGATTAGGGGGATCGGGGTAGGGGATTGGGGAGGACACGACAACAATAGGTGCACTGGTGATATCCACCATTCAAAATCTGACATAGAACATTGGGCCACATGAGATAGAGATAGTAGGAATAGGACTGAACAACTCCAAGAGTGACCTGACGGATAATCCTTCAAATATAAAGAAGGTTACATTCAGTCGACAAAGACACACAAGAATATAATCAGGATACAGAGTACCCCAAATCCGAAGGTCCATTTAAACCTCGTCATTTTCTTCGTTATCCGTTTCTGGGTACATAATCTCTCCAGCTTCATTGGTTGGCCTTCCATGAGCAGCTGGGAAGATCGGCTCGTCGTCCACAGGAGGCTCCGGTTCAGGCTGCACGTAAGCAAGATCTTGGAGCAAATTTGGAGCTTCCCCATCCGTATATCTTAGCTCTTCTTGCAAGATAGATAGTTTTTTTGGACCGAGCTCTCGTGCCTTTTGCACCACATTAAGAATGTTTGACCAAGCATAGAAGCGCTGGTCCTGATTCAAACCCCGGAGTAGAGGCACCAGCATCAGCGCGAAATGCAAGTTCTCATCTATAGGATCGTATTTAGGCTCTTCGATCTTCGGTACGGGGATGAAGATTGGCTTTTTCTTCACTTCATTCTCTTTAGCGAAGGTCGCAATATTCTCTGTGGACGTTGAAGCAGTTGGGATGTTGATTTCTTCAGTTTTTTCGTTGGCCAGCGTATCCATCACGAGGTCCAACTCGTCTTCATTGTTGTTATCGGAAGCTGTGGTTCCTGCTCCTGTGTCTACCTCCATGACTGGTGTGGAAGGGATCAGAAACGATAGCTTATGTATCTGCCTCTGTTTCTTTATCTTTGAAACTGGACGCGTTACACCGTACCCCTTTAAAAACGACTGCTTCAGGCGGAACCACTTGGATTGAACTTGGCGTACTGTGAAGAAGAATGATTAAAATGTAGGACTCTATAGACAGGTTGTCTAAACTTGGGCCTAGTCAGAAAGTACGTGGTAAGGACGACTTCGCAAACCTACCTTTACATATATACAAACTAATTTGGTGCGCTGAATTTTACACAAATTTTGTCCGCAAAGTTAAATTTTTCTTTTAGTTTTCATCGGGATATCGAACCCGGTCGTTCAATCCGCACTTATAAGTATTTAGCTTTCTAACTATTGGAAATTTATCCAACTCCGCTCTGTTAAGTTACAAATTGCATAATACTTTTTTAAACCTTTCGTAGAAAACACAACATTCAATTACCTACTTAACAAAAATCAAAAATATTAATCGAAATATTACTAAATAAAAGTTTACAAAAAAGAAAGTAATAAAATATTACCCTTATCGCGTTTCTTTCTGGCACTCAACTGGCGGAAATCCTTACAAAGGGCTTGGCAGACATCGGCCCACTCCTTTTGCCTCGCGACCTTCTGTATATACTCGGTCTGAGCTCTGGTGTATAAAAGCGGTCGCTTTTTAATCTCATGTATCAACTGATCGACGTCAATAACCTGATTGGTCACCTGACGCCCGTCAACAATGGACATGTTACCGTTTTCCGTCATGTTCACGAAACACTGCCGCGCGGCAAATCGCCGCATCCTTCCGAGACTGCAGCGACATCTAGAGATGCACTTGTAAAAAACAAACAACTTTACGTAATGCAAACACTAGACACAACCTCTTGTAAAAGAACTTAACTTTTCTTTATTTCGTTATTGGAATTTGATTTTTACGTTATAATAATAGGTTTTATATTTATTTGGTATTAAAGAAATACAATTAAAATTTGAAACTGTAATAAAATCGGGGTTCTCATCGAATACGTGTTGCGTGGGCCGACGACGTGACGCAGGTGCGCTGCTGTGCCCGAACTCGGGAAAGCCAATCAGAGGTTAGGGAAATGACCGCGCGGATCGTTCGAATAAAAATGGAATAAATATATTTTCTTTTTCAAAGGATATTTTTCCAATTCTCCCTTTATGTAAATATAAGTTTACAATCTAATTTTACTTAGTACAAGTAACTTCAACAAGCAAAAACGGTGATAAGATTAGCAAGTTATGATAGTATAAGAATCTGTATTTTAATAATTCTAATTGATTTATGTAAAACTTTTTCTGGATTCTTCATTACAAATAGGATCAGGAATTAGTAATTGAAAAACACCAGGATATAATAATAACTATTGTTAACCATTTAGTAGCTTACTATACATTAATTAAGGTACACATTTAATAATTTCAATCTAAGACAAAGACATGAATTGTAATAGACTTTCTCTTTGTTCTCAGGTGCCAAGGTATTGGAAGCTCTGCGCCAAGATGAGCAGTTCGTCCGCTGTCTCCATGCAGTCGGTACTGGTGGTGGCGTTGCAGGATGGCCCTGCGACCCCCCACGCACTATCATCCTACACAAACCCGCTGACAACGAAATCGTTAGCTACGGTAAGTTTTTCACAAAAAAAAAAACATTAAATTTAAAATAGTATCTGAACATTTCAGATGTTAATTACCAATTTCCAGTTACTTCTATAAAATATTTTCAGTTGAATTAACTTTAAAAAATAAAGACTCATACACAATAATTAAAAAATAAAAAAATATTTTGTTCATAAAACAGAACTCCTAGCGCCATCTATCGGGAGTTTAACGTAAACATCACCTTATACAGCTCAAAGCTCCCGAGGGAATTATTTACCATTTTTATGGTGGTTTTAATAGTTTTTAAAGTAAATTTTACTTGTGTTACAGGTAGTGGATATGGTGGCAACAGTTTGTTGGGTAAAAAGTGCTTCGCTCTTCGTTTGGGCTCAGTTATCGCGCGCCGGGAAGGCTGGCTCGCCGAACATATGCTGGTGAGTTGAAAATAGGTTTAAATAGTACATAAAGCTGATTAAAGTACACATTTATGCATAAATTTGTTCTTAAACACAACAGTTTATAATATTAGTACAACATAATCGCCCCTGCTGGAAAAAAATAGCAATCATAGTTGTGTAACTTATTCAAATATATATTTCTATGACAATTTTTAGTAGGTACTAACATTCTTTAATATTTAATTATTGCTTGGTAATGAGACATAATATATAATCCTAATCTTATCAAAACTACCTTACATTGGGCATATTAAAGTAAATATGCAAAAAAAATCTAACAAATGGGTTCTTTTTCGTACAGATTGTTGGCGTTACCGATCCCAAAGGTCGTAAGCGCTACATCGCAGCTGCCTTCCCTTCAGCTTGTGGTAAAACCAACCTCGCCATGATGACTCCGACCCTGCCAGGATATAAAGTGGAATGTGTTGGTGACGATATCGCCTGGATGAAGTTCGATAAAAACGGAGTGCTAAGAGCTATCAACCCTGAGAACGGATTCTTTGGAGTTGCTCCAGGTAAGTTATTGACAAATTCGTCATTTTTACTATACCTTCCTGTTGTTTTTTTTTTTCACATAAATTAGACCAGTTTAATTGCGTATACATATCAGATTGCGAATGCTTAATTCAAAATAAGCTTAAGCTTAAAAAAATATGTGACAACAATAAGGTTCAATTTAGTTAGGGTTAGTGCTTTTTTCTATGAAACATTCGATTTACACATCGCTTTTCTGTGTGAAACATTTGTTGAAAAAAACTTATCAAAGGCTTTATCCACATTTCATTTTATTTATTTTCATTTTTTTCTATTCACAGGAACTTCCGAAGCTACGAACCCGATAGCCATGTCAACAGTATTCCAAAACACTGTATTCACGAACGTTGGAGAGACCAGTGATGGTGGTGTTTGGTGGGAGGGCATGGGCGCCGCCCCTGAGAAGCTGACCGACTGGAAGGGACAACCCTGGGATCCTAGCAAGAAGACACCAGCTGCACACCCTAACTCTAGGTAGGCTGAATGGAATAATTACTTTGATTCAACAAAAAAAAATTGTCTATGGTACTTGGTGTTGCCAGACTAAAAAAAGTAAATCATGTTCTAAATGTTTCTTTTTTTTTGTTGGTACAGATTCTGCACCCCAGCTGAACAATGCCCAATTATTGATGACCAATGGGAGAGTGCTGAAGGTGTGCCGATATCCGCCATTTTGCTTGGAGGACGTCGTCCTGCTGGAGTGCCTTTAGTTGTCGAGTCTCGGAACTGGCAACACGGTGTCTTCATGGGAGCTACCATGAGGTCTGAAGCCACCGCTGCAGCTGAACATGCGGTAAGCATTTTTTGCTATATAATTCTTGTATATTGGAAGCATTCAGAATAAGATTCCAAAGAGTTACAAGTAAGAGTTGTAAGTAATCTGATATAAATAAAAAAAAATTGCTGTTGGTTAGTCTCACTAAAATTCGAAACGGAATGGTCCGTTCTGAACAACTTTGGTCTTAAAATATTCGTTGAAATCCAGAGAAAGTTTAAAGGGTCAGAACATATAGTTATATTTGAGACGGTACGGAGATCGGGTCAGCTAGTTCTTAAAATTTTAATAATCATATTAACTTCAATCAATCGAGCTTAACCAAAATACTTCTTGTTACAGGGCAAAGTAGTAATGCACGATCCGTTCGCTATGCGTCCATTCTTCGGCTACAACTTCGGCGAGTACCTGAAGCACTGGCTGTCCATGCCCCAGGCTGGTCGCCAAATGCCCAAGATCTTCCACGTCAACTGGTTCCGTAAGAGTGATGAGGTATGTATCTTTAAGTTGATGAAAATATTTCCGAGGTCGTGATAAATACAAATAGATGAATACTGATGACAAAAACTCGGTAGTCTGTCCAGTAATTATGAAATCATAGAAACATTAACATTTTTTGTTATAACAATGATAAATAATTATGTCTTCGTAGATGTGAGGAATATAGGTATCAGTTTTCAATCCCAATCTAACATTTGACTAATTTTCTTTTGCCTCTCCAGGGTAAGTTCCTCTGGCCTGGTTTCGGCGAGAACTCTCGTGTGCTTGACTGGATCCTGCGCCGTTGTGACGACGAACCTTGCTACACGGAGTCTCCACTTGGAAACATCCCCGCTGAGGGCGATCTCAACACACAGAACCTCGGCCCCATCGACATGAAGAGTCTGTTCAGCATACCCAAGGACTTCTGGCTTCAAGAAGCAGACGCTATCGAAAAGTATTTCAAGGAAGAAGTTGGCCAAGACTTGCCCCAAGAAATGTGGGACGAACTAAACAAATTGAGGAACAATGTGCAGCAATCTTAATTTATACCAAAGAAATATAGCTTTAAGAGTTTTTAATTAAGTTTTTCGGAATGTAAAGATACTACTTATATGTTTTTTCTCTCATAGTCTTTGCAAACATTCCTTTTATATGTATTCTCTTTATCGAACGCTGGTCGTACAATTGTTTTTATAAAATAATAGAATTGGATGTAAAGAAAAATGCTGGCTTAAGAACGTAGTAATGACGAACAAGAAGGCTGTGTTATTTAGGTAAATAATTATATGAATAAGATGATAATTATGTATAATATGATATGATAATGAATTTACTCATCAAAATAATGTTTAAAATATTTTGTATGTAAGTTAATTTTTAAATAAAACGTATTATTCAGTGAGTAACTTTGAATTTTATTCCTTTGTACCCACTACATGTTTACACAGATTATTTATAACTATACACTTACATTTCATTTCATATGTTTAGCTGAGAACACTCTCACGCCATCTTGTGTGGACGCCCGCGCATACTTCGTTAGCAATGCATTTACATTCAGTTTCTCTGTTGCGTAGCATCTGGAAAACATAGTAAAACATTTGAATAAACACTTCTAGAGTGTGGGTTCGAAACCTGGCAAGTACCAATATGACTTTTTCCGAGTTATATGTACTTTCTATGATTATTTAGACACCACTGACATACGGTGAAGGTAAACATCGTGAGGAAACCTGGACTTATAATTTCGCATTGAGCAAGCGTGGTGATTAATGCTCTAACCTTCTCTGTATAAGAAGAGGCCTTTGCTCAGCAGTGGGCACTTATAGGTTGATGATGACTAATTTATAAAAATCTTGGTGTATCTCAGAAGATAGAGATCCTAGCAAAAAATATGCATAATATTTAAAGTAAACATTTATTTTACTGGCTTCAAGGCCTTCAAGAGAGATGGAATGGAACCTTGGAAGAAGTGCGCCAATTTGAAACCCGAGTAAAAACATTTCGTTGCATGCATGAGCTATCCGTAAGACAAAATTCCTTCGACCAGACATTGGGAATGGCCAAGAGCTTACGGCTAACAGGAGGTTTTATGAGTTTTAAATAGGTGAAATGACCTTGCTAAAATTTGTCTTAATTGATTGCAAGATGCAATGGTACAGTTATCTGTCTAGAGCGCAATCAACTTGTCCTGATCAGAACAAAAAAAAAACCGCGTCTGTGTGAGCTTTGTATGTGAATAAGTTGGTACATGCACCGAAAAGACAACAAAACATAATCTGGCATCGTTCATCAGCTAAGTAAAAATACAAATGGCAGAAATACTTACTCAATATACGGCGATATCTGATCGACAGTCCATTTGGGTTTAGTTTGGAATAATATTTTGAATCGCTCATTAATTTCTTCCGGCAGATCGGTCTCAGCAAATCCCCAAACTACTTGAGGTGTGCTGGATTTGTCCACTAATGCGATACCAGATAGGAGAGATTCCTGGAAAGGGGAAAAAGCGTTTTATCTTCTGGTAGATTTATTTCATCTAGTATCCTAGTGTTCTTGCAGACTATAATCTATCCTTGTACTAAATTTCGTTGAGATCCTTTATGTGGTTTTTATGTAAAAGAGTAACACTCACACTTAAAAACTTTCGTTATTTCATTAGTTCATTATTATTCGTCGTAATAGCAGGGCGACTGAATACAGCGTAACGTGTTAATTATACGTTTACAACTTGGATTTTTTTATTGAGAACCGTTACTGTAATCTGCGATATGTAATATATAATGAAGCTACGATACTTACATCAGTCACCATACCATCAGGAACGGAGTCCTTCCAAGCTTGTAAAAACTCTTCCAAATTAAATTTCCCAGCACTCTTCAATAACACTCTGGCCAAAAACTTGCAAACTTTATTTTGCTTATACTGGTAGAACTGAACGCCATCTTCCTCAACCGACGGATTAGTATAAAATCTGAACATAGCCTCCAAGATTGGCAAAGGAACTAATTCTTTCAGACTCTCTATAGTAACTTCCCTAGATATTTTGTCTAAAGGCCAGGAATTCTCATCAATAAGATCCAACATGTAGGATAGGACACGAAATTCGTATTCAAATTCTAATAACCTATAATGACCATCCAATAATACAGCTTGGATCTTTTCTAACTCCTCATTCAGTTCTGCTTTTGAAGCCTGGATTTTGTAACAGAGAGCCTCATAGCTTAACAATTTCGACTTATCAACTGCATATTCTAGTTCCAGTCCCTGATATTTCGTTGGTTCCAGAATCTTCCGTAATTTCGTTAATCTTGGCTTGCAAGGTTTTAATTCGTAGTACGTGAAGAAAGTGTTGAGTATATCTTTGTGGACTATCTGTCTTGGCGGTTTGGATCCTTCGTCGGATTCTGTGGATTTGTTCAAACTTGCATTTGATTTGTCGAATGAGGAGTCTGATTCTATGGAGTCGTTTTGAATGGTTTCGTCTAGCCCTGTCGATGCTGCAAACAGTAACTCTGGGACTAAAAGGAGACTGTTGGATGTTTCTGCTTCTTTTACGTCGTACGTTTTAGTGTTTGTGCATAGTACTACGTTTTCGTCTGGGTCTCCTGTAACGTAAATTTTATTTTGATGGTCATGTTGGATAAATAAATTTACTCGCAATGAGACGCCTTTTATGGCCCTACCTAAATTGTAACTCAAGATGACGATATTGCAAGTGATACTTTCTTACAGTTTCGTTAGTTACTTTCTTACAGTTGCTACACTCCTGGTACACATTGTGCACCAAGCTCCTCGCTGATCCAGATAGTTTAGAAAATATTCATAATACGAATCGGGGAATCGACCCAGAGATCCCTTAGCAAGATGTCACTGCCATGCCAAACTGTGGTTTCCTCTACTAATACTTACAAGTAACCCATTAATGTCTTTCCTAATCGAACCCAAATTGTAACATAAATACTATATAGGCACCACAACACACCAACAGAAGATAAGTGCCCACTGCTAAACAAAGACCTCTTCTCAAACGAAGAGCATGAGCATTAAAAATCACGCTTGCTTAAGGCGGATTGACTGTCTCAAACTTATGGTTCTAAATTATAAGTCCAGGTGTCTTCACGATGTTTTCCTTAACCGTATGTCAGTGGTGTTTTAAATAACTCAATAATCTTAAAAATGGATCGCAAAATGTGTTGGTAAGCGCATAACTCAAGAACATCACATCACATCATCAGCCTATAAGTGCCTACTGCTGAGCAAAGGCCTCTTCTCACACGGAGAAGGTTTTGAGCATTAATCACCACGCTTGCTCAATGCGGGTTGGCGATTTCAAACTTATAATTAGTAATTATAAGTCCAGGTTTCCTCACGATGTTTACCTTCACCGTATGTCAGTGGTGTCTAAATAGTCATAGAAAGTACATATAACCCGGAAAAAGTCACATTGGTACTTGCCAGGTTTCGAACCCGCACCCTCATGCATGAGAAGCGGGCGCCTTAACCTCCGGGCCAACACGAACTCAAGAACGCCTGGACCAATTTTGCTAATTATTTTGTTGTGTTTTAGGTTCTTATCAAAAAAAATATTAGAAAAGTTGAGTGGAAGTTTGGGAATAAGTGACCCTTGAAAGTAAAAAGCGAGATAGTTGGACCCGCGCAAAGCGGGGGCGGGCCGCTAGTGTTAAAAAAAAACATAAATCTGGAAAAGTCTGACACGCACTTGGTAGGTTTCGCGTTTGCGTTTTTGCATATTCTACGAAATTCTATTACATTACAAACTACCTTTAAACATCAGGTCGTTCCCAGCTTCAATTTCTTTCAGGAGATTATCGTCTAATAACATGAGTTTCAGCCTGTCATTCTGTTCGCTCGGATTCGGGAACCTAAGTACTTGTGTGATTTCTGTCAGCTCGGACTCGTGGAGTTTAGCGGTTTTTATTATCTTCCTCGCCTCCTCTGGAGTCCTTAATTCCCTGGAATATACAAATAATGTTTGTCAATTGATGAACTCATGCCTTTAATTACAAATGTGGAGACACCCATGAAGGACTTAACAGAGACGGATCAAGATCCCTAAACATTTTTATGTTATCAGTGGCGCTCCTCTGAAACTTTGCGCCCTAGGCACTGTCCTGGTTTAGCTTAAGGATAATACGGTCTTGTAGAAACTATGCATTGCATTTTCTTGAAATTGATGCATCTTTAGTGTTATCTCAGTGATTCTGTTTCAAATAATGAACTTAGTTACTTAGTGCATATGCAATTAATCGTGTTATATTGGAACAAAAATTTAATCATAGCATATTTTTTAAATATCGCGCCAAACATTAAAATAATAAAAAATATATGAAATAAATACTCAACTACAGCATTACGCAGACGAATTGAAAATTAACAATCGATTGATCGCTTAGAATCAGAAGTTGTCTACGACCAAAAATTTTTCAATACTGACAACACTGATATAATTTTTTAACCTATACTTTTGCAAGTTCTTTTGACATTGACATTTCAATAAACCTAGTTCGATTTCTTCAAAAATTCACTCCGTGATATACGATCACGTTTTAGTTTTAGTTTAGTTAAAATAGTGACAAAATATCGAAATGTCTTTGTTCGGCGATATATTATCCATAAATAAGAATGAGGAGAAAACACAACAGGCGGGGTCGAGTCTATCCCCCTATTTGAACTTCGATCCCCATATCATACCGAAAATGCAACCAGAATTCTTGTATCCTGATGACAGTCACATGGCATCTACAGCTCGAAGGTCCAACGTAGCACTACCTATCATTGGAATGTCTTTCATGACGGGGTCAGGTAATGAAATGATGAAATTTGAACATAACCTCAAAATTATTAGCAATTTTTACATAACACTGCGTCAGACCGATTTCTGTGTACTGAGTATTGGTATGAATTAAAAATTATTACTTCTAATAACCATAAGCTTCTTCGTACTGAAAAAATGTGTTCCAGAAAGTTGTATTTGATTAGATGTTTATTTACACAGTGGGCATCAAGCCAAATGGCAACAAATGATGCATAAATCTACTAGCACATAACACAAGAATCAAGTATAGATAAAGATGTGTCATTACTATACATTCAAAATGATATTAGAACACAAATAATCAAATAAGATTCAACCAAGACAACTTAAGCAATGAAAAAAAAACATTTTAAGACATAATATATTAATGCTGATACCAACATTTCATGTACTAGTTGTATTAATAGCCTATGTTTGCCAGTAACAGTGTAGCTGTCCAACAGTGAAAGAATTTGTCCCATCAATCAAGTAGTTTCGGAGCCTATTCAATCCAAACAGTAAACTCTTTAATCTTTATAATATTAGTATAGATTCTTGTCCCAAACAAACATTCCTAACACCAAAAAAAAAGATACTCCATATCAGCTGTGTATAACAGAACATTATAAATAATAAGAAGAAAAATAATTGCTTTATAAAATCTTATTGGAATTAATTTCTGAATAATGATTCTGACCATGAAATTGATCATCAATAAACAGCCTTCGACTGTCTACCATTCTACCATGGATCTCCTTGTTGAGTTTAACATGGCTTCTAAACTCAGTAATTGTCAGAAATACACATTACAATTATTATAGGAATTACAGCCAATTAAACACAATACTTATTTGTATGATAATTTTTCATCTACAACATTTACTTAAGTATTTGTTTTTTTTAAATTAGCTAAAAAAAATATATTTATTTAATGAATCTTTATTTCCAAAATTCTTAGTTGATGCACAACAAAAAAAAATTTTGAACTAAAAAACATTCAGTTATGGTATTTTTTTTTTATTTTCAACACTCACACAACATTCCTTATTTTCAAATACTTTATTAGATTTGTGTGTATGTGTATTCAGAAACTGAAGGATTTATATTATGTACAAGGTATCAAACACTGACTCAATCATCAATAACATAGAATTAATTTAAACTATCTAACTACAGTCAACAAAATAATAAATGACATTCTTATCTCTCTCTATAAAGTAACTAAATAATATTTTATGACTCAATTTCAGGTTTGGGTGGAATGGCAGGTTTATACAAAGGTCTGAGGGCAACTACACTGGCAGGACAAACGGGAAAAGTTCGAAGAACGCAAGTTATCAACTACATCATGAAACAAGGTCAGTTTGTTTTTGTAATTATTAATACTAAAGAAATTAAAAGTCCTAATATCTAGGGCCAAATATTAAGCAAAACTCTATTGGAAGAATAAGATTGATATTGTAGTGTTGAAAATGCTATTACATATGATTACATAATCAGGAACCCTCCTCACATCAGAGGATTCACTTAACATAGCATAATACCTAGTCTAGCCATAAATACTGTAACAAATAAAAAAAATATTTTTTCTATTGCAAATAACATTTATTACTTTTACAGTATGTAAGTTTAATACATAAATATAAAACAATTTAAAACATAAAAAGCTTATTCGAAGTGGTCTCCATTGGCTGCAATATAGTCCTTTAAACATTGAGGCCAGTTATCAATAGAAGCATGCACTCTTTCCATGGGAAAATTCTTCACTGCCAATCATATGGATTGTTTTAGGGAGTCCAAATTATCATGACGTTTAGAGCAAGCCCTACTCTCTAAAACTGACCATAAATCATAATCCAGCGGATTATGACCGGGACTAGACGACGACGGCCAGTCTTCAGCTCTGATGAAGTCGGAAACGTTTGTTTCCAACTAAGACTGCGTGGACCGAGCTTTATGACCCGGCGCCGAGTCTTGCTGGAAGAACCATTGTTGGTTATTGAACATGGTGTTGTTAAGGGGCTTAACTACCTTCTCAAGAATGGTATTTTGATACACTTGTGCCAATGTTTTGATACCTTTTTCGCAAAAGTATGGCTCAATCACTCCTTCATAGCTAACACCCCACCAAACCATCACTGAAGTCGGATAATGCCCACGTTGCACTCTGTCGACTAATTGAGAAGCTTCCTTAGAGCTTTGAGCATAAATACGGTCATTTTGTTTGTTAAAATGTGGCTCAATTGTAAAAAATTTCTCATCCGTAAACAAAATACCTCCCTTTGCGTACCGCTTCAGTAGTTGTTTAGATTTTATCACCCTATTCTTTTTTAAATTATCATTTAAAAAATTTCCAGTGTGTCTCTTATAGGCTGCAAGTCCTAAGTAGTCTTTTAAAATACGCGACATGGTTCTAGGTGCTATCTTCATCTCCCGAGATAAAATCTTTTGCTTTGACCACCTTTTTCGTACGAACACTACGTGGACGGCCAGATCTTTTTCAAACATTTGACTAATGCCAAGCGTGTGGAGAGTTTTGAAAATTGCATTTGGCTCCATACCCACTTTGTGTAATGCACACCGATTCGGTTCTCTTTATCATCCCAGTCCATTTTAATATCGCAAAATATTAAACAATTTATTGGCGCCAAAATAAGAAAACACAATGATAAAATATATAAAAATGACAGATTCCAAATTCAAATGTAATATTTTGTTTATTTTTAATTGTAACAGTATTTATGGATATTCATGTTTATGTGATAAGCTGGTGAGCGAGCATACAGATTACCAAATGGTAAGCAATCGGCGCCGTCCATGGTCACTCCAAATACCAAAGGAGTTATTACAAGCGTGGGCTCTTAGGGATTGTGATACCAATAATGGATAAGACAATATTTAGACAGAATTCTATAAAAATGAATTCTTATAAATTAGCCAACAAAAACCTATAAACTAATAGACACTTATATTACGTTCCAGGTACAAACACAGGCTGCACTCTTGGCATCATCGCGTCCTTCTACTCGTGTATCGCGCTCGGCGTCACATGGCTACGCGACAAGGAAGATACAGCCAACACATTCATCGCCGCCGCCACCACCGGAGTCCTATACAAGAGCACCTCCGGCCTACGCTCCATGGGCCTCGGGGCCGCCGTAGGCCTCACCCTCGCAGGAGTCTACACACTCGTCACCGACAATGACAACATATGGAGTAAAGCCCGATACAACAGATTGTGATTCAACCCGCCTAGTTTTGTAAATATTTAATAGACTGTTAATTTTAGTTTTGTTATGGTCAACGCCAAAGGATCTGCCGGGACGCAGGGACTTATTTGTACCATGTTCCACGTACCTGTTTAGATTTATGTATAGTGCTTTTTGGTATCCATAAACTGTGCAGTCAAGTTGTGTAGCTCTTGCCATAGATACAATTATTGTACTTAATAAATATATTCTTCCTGTTTTTAAATGGTATATTTATTGGATTATTTAGTTAACAAATTACTTTTATAAATAGAAGCTTTTATGCTAATTATAGGGCTTCCTACGCCAAATCTAAAGTGGGTATACCTTATAAATTATTTAGGAAGTTGGTAGGTACATAATAGTTCTACGTCCTGATGTCAAAGGACTATGCAAAGATGGTGGTGTCTCCCTATCTATCTTTCAAGTCTTCAATACTATAATGTATAATATATCTATAAATAGATAATGGTTTATCTAAAATATTTACTCAAGCTAGCCTTCAACATAATTATCACTATTTGTGTACAGTTTATGGATAGCTCACCCTGAATTGCGTACATATTCCCGCCTTGTCGTATCAGGACCGCACAAATATGCATAAGCGTTAATAAATGAGTTTTATTGAAAAATAACATGTTTATTTCATTTTACAATCGTTTTACACAGTGCAGTTTGTACAATGTTGTATTTACATGTGGCGAGTACGATGGGATATGTTATATACTAGTGGAGTCGGCGACACATAACGATAAAAGTGCTTGGGCGGATAATATTCATTACCCCGCCTTTTTAGTCCAGTCGAGCCAATGGAAGTCATAAAGAAGAGATATAATCGTAAAAGTAAATTAGCTTAAAATAAGAACAGTATACATAGGTACACAGACATTGTAACAAAATAGTTTTCAATTACTGCTCACGATCTACCTGTGCCAAATTGCTACATGTAACTTTATTATCTGACCCACAACGATTAAATTGATTTCGGCGTAAGATAAAATTGACCGTGCAATACAATTTTGCTTTTAACGTTTGTTTTTTTGATTTGGCCAATAAATTCAAGTAGCCTAGTCGCAAGTGCAGGTAAAGCCACATCCGCATAAAATTATTTTACAAGTTAACGTTAATCAAACCAAATGGGTCAGATATTCCAGTTAAATCTTGTTAAGAACGCCATCCACGAGTATCTGACGTCGCGTTAGCTCGACCCGACCTTGACATAATAATCCCTAGGGGTGTGTCCATATTGGCGAACGCGGAAATATTGCACGTGTTGCATAAAGCTAATTGGATGCGGTTGTGCAAATCTTCCAATTCATAAATAAATTACCTAAATGAGGTAAACCAACTTTTGACTCATTATAAAAACGCTGTCGCTGATGAATGGTCAATCGTTTCATTAGGTTGCAACACTCATCAATGAGAATGCATAACTACGTCCAATTAACTATTATATGATTTTCATCTAGCGGTTTCGCCAATGTGTCCACAACTTACTATATAAACATACATTTTCAAAACAATTGAGCAAACAGGCCCTTCTTAGAGTACAATCTAATATATAAAAACTACTTACAAAAATAAAACTACAATGCCATTATCATCCAATAGAAAGAATAGGTACAATTTGGCACCGAATTATTTACAAATATTCGCATAAAATAAATTGCTGTTAAATTGTAGTAGCGTAGCTAACTAGCGTTGAAAATTACGCAAAGTATGGACAAACCTTGACTTTCAGACTAACGAAAGTTAGTATTTTTTTAGGAAAGCGCTTATGAGTATAGTTGGGTGGGGGATATTAATGGTCCAATAACGAAATAAGCTAGGAAGGACCCAAAAGAAACTGCAGTCATCCATGGGCAAGGACTAAAAATGATCACTCTAGCTGCCAATTTATATAGGACAAATTTAACGCAAAACTTAGCGTAATTCTTTCTTATTTACAGTAAAAGATAAAACAATTTGAGACGACGAATTGGAGACAATCAAGATATGTCTGATTATTATCGAGGCGATGCTGGTACGAATTAAGATTATTAACGTAATCAGTTACAACTTGATCTCGATTATCTTCAGTCGAATCATTACTGTGTGATAATCAATTCAGTTCGGAAATTTGACATAGCATCACACGTCGGCTCGGTGACAGGCGCCATCTTAACATCATAATTCATTACAGTAACCCGAGACTTGATAAAATATCTTAGAAAAACGTTATAGCGATAACAATTTACATAATTTAATTTTATCATAAGTTACACAGTATAATATACTCTTTACTTATCTACATACGTTTACAGCACATTCATTTATTTCACAGTTTCAGTAGAAATAAAGTACCAATGGATGGATTCTGCAAATAATTTACATAAGGATAGTCAGATAGTGTGATAACGACTCGGTGTTTATGTAACTGAGCACCTATAAAATAATTATGATCATTGAATTAGAGGTCGCCATATTGGTGTTATATGGACGACATCTATTCAAAATTAATCAATCCTATGAAACAGAACAATCCATCAACAGTTGTGACGCTAAAGTTTACTACGCATTTATACATATGTTATTACGGAGAAACGTAAAGAGAATGTTCTAAAATTATACATCTGAATCAGATATTATCGATTTCATTTGAAAATATGTTTACATTTGATAGCCTCTTAAAACATGGTGATGGTCATAGCTAATTTGTTCACTAAGATTAAAATCTACCCACAGAACAAGCGAAAGAAACCGCGCGAGATAACTACTCAGGTAGTTGTAGCAAATTAGTTAGATCGGTATTACAAAAAGGCATTTGATCGGTTTCCGTTGGCGGTCTCGTCAAAGTTTGAACAATCAAGTCAAGATTCACATTCCCGGTTACCGTATTAAACCTCTAATCTGTTTATGGTAGATAGGAAACCGTCGATAATTCGGATAACGACTATCTGCAAGCAAGTATTGAACGATTAGACTTTATATCTACGTGTTTGACGAAAGCCACTGACAATCGTAAAACACATTTTACGATACATAAGCAAGAGATAGAGAGATTCTAAACATACTTTACAGTAAAATATTATAGGAAAATATACTTCGATGTGCCCAACACATACTTATTTAGACTTACCACGAAGGAGGACGATAACCTACCCACTTATTTCTATATCAATTGGACTGTTTAGCGTAAGCTTTGTATTTAATCGTACACTGCGAATGTACATATTATTGCATCCTTTACATCCTAAAACGTTTCATGAACTTCGTTATTTGCAGGTGTAATTGACACAAGACTATTTAAACTGCTAAGTTATAAAATGAAAGTTTGAAAAAGGAAACAAAAATATAAGGGTCGATAAGAATAACTTTATCGCAAGATCAATTAATTAGATTATTGGTAAAATCGATAGGTAAGCATAATCGCCTCAAGATATTTACTTTCCGAACATAGATACACCTTCATAATAAACACCTACTTTCTTTCTTTACTTAAAATCTTTTTCGTCCTTTTTATTTACTATCAACGTACATACACATGTAACAACTATTCCAACACTTGGTAAAGACATTCCTACCATCAAGCACGAGCATAAGCAATGGTTTATTTTTAAACGAGTATAAACTACCGGCTGTTTACTGAGTCAGAACATTATTTTACGTAGGTAGCATGTATTTACTGACGACCTAAAAGGTTATCGAAACAAAAAGTAAAATGAAATATTACATATGGCGCGAAACTGATTCCAATTTTGAACAATGAAAACATGTGGCACAGACAATTTAGCATATGTACCAATACTGGTACGATACAAAATTAAACCACATTTTTTTCAACGTGACCTTGAACAGGCAGGTACTAAAAGTAGCAGACTTACAACTGCCTAACGTATTGGATTACAATGTTTTAACGTACAAACATTATCTTAAAGGTCTTCAACATCTTCCATTTAAGTTATAAGATAGTAATAATTTTATAACTAAATTATTTACATCTACATAGGTATATATATTTATAATCGACGCAATTTCTTAATGTCCGATTTAACTCAAATTCTATCCAGACATATTATGGGCAAGATTTTTTCATTTTTGTAACACACAGAAACATTATTTTATTATGCAGAATTATGGCCGTTATAAATTGTACATTCGATTTTTAAGTCGCGATTTAGCCAAATATTGTTTACATAAGTAAACAAGTTTAGTATTTGACAAAGTTGAAAACATCTTGAATTAATTTTATTTCAGTTTGCTGATGACTCATTTTTGAAGCAAACACCATAATTTTACCTACAGGAAAACCCTCTGCAGTTATTTACTAGGAATATTAACAAATAAGGTGATTTAATTAAAATAATTGTTTGTAAAACTACTACCATTTTCAATATGAATTCATACAATGAAAACTCTGAAATTAATCAAAAATCAGTCATTCCTATCTGGATACTTGTTAGTTCTATAATTAATTCCTTAATTAACGTAATAATTATACTTAATATCAGAGTAGTTAGCTGGAAGCCTTTTCTCAAAACAATGTAGGTAATTGGTTGCATGGACTTAATTTGTCAAACAAGATAGCATTTTATGCCATTAGCTATGATGTTATTATAAAAGTTATCAGTACTAAAGAGGTATCATTATAATGTATTTAACTAATTAATATCTAGATTAAAAAGCATAATTTCTAATGAGATAGTAAACATAAACATGTGTAGTTGAGACATTGAAATGGTTCTTTCTTACCACACACAAGTAACAAATTATTGCAATGAAACAGTTTACATTCGCAACTTCATTTTCGCAATCCCTTAAATGCAATACAATTACTTTTTGTCATTCAAAATAAACTGCTCCAACATTTCACATACACACAATAGGCTGGCCATATCTTAATTTCTTGAATTGCGTCTTGCAGTCATCGCTGCATCCTCTCAAGTTTGAGGCGCAGCAGTGCTTCTGTCACGTAGCCGCATTCAATATAGACTTCATATCCTCTGGTAGAACACAGTTCAAGTCTTCCAATCGCCGTGCCAACAATGTCCTGGTATTATCAGCCACTGGAGGGTTACTCTTCAAGACCTCCCTAAGTTTCAAGACCATATCCACAATTTCAACCTCTTTTTTACCAACTGACCATTTCTTTAAGTCACTTTCAGCTAAAGCCTCCAACTGCAAGGCATGCAATTTATTCGTCAAATTGTTATGTCTCTCATGGAACCATGCACTGAAGTTTGGTGTTCTGAAATAGTTCCTGTACAGTCCAATCCAATCGCCTTTTATACCAGTTGTCAGCTGAGGTCCAGACTGCTGAAGGGTTGCAAAGAAATCCTCAGGGTTGAATGGGTTTGGTACTGGAGGTGCTCTGAATGGCGAAATGTTCTTCTGTAGTGGCATTAGAGATGCCATATATCTTTCTAGGGGAATCATGAAGCTTTGAGTCAGTTCCAGCAAGTGACGCTTGACCATAGCAGTCTGTACCTCAGATGGGCGGTCAGTTCTTATCCCATTGTGCAGTTTCTTAATTATTGCTTTATCTTTCTCTAAGAATGGCTTATACTGAGTATACACTCCAGGAGCAGAATCTAGAAGCTTAAGATTACCAACTTTCCGTAGTTTTGTTTTTATTGATGTTGCATCACCCAGCTTAATGGTGTGTGGCCAATGTTGTAATGTTTTTGTAAAGAATGGATTGGTCACACCTAGTATAACACAAGGTGGGTTGAATTGTTTCCTTGTGAACTCTTTGAATTCACTGTCATGTATTGTGAAATATGGTCTATATTCTGCTGCATATGGCAGTGGCTGGATCAAGTACGTGAGAGCTTGAACTAGTGCTGAACATTCTGTAGGTGAGCTTGCCATTACTACAATAGGTTCTGCTGTTAGCACTAACTCCCACAACAAGTGTAAGTGTGAAATGACACTAGACAGCACATCAAACACATTGACATCCTGTATGGATGCAAGAATGTGTGGTACATTAGGTGAGTGCACTTGTTTAGCTATATCTGATCGAGTAATCTTTCCGGTCTGTTGGTTAGGAATGTATGACTGAAAAACTGTACCGAGCACTGGTAACAATACATTCTGCCCAGCATCGAGAGAAGGCCACCTGTTAATGTCATGGCAGGCAGCCTCTAGACTTCTTTCCCCTTCCTCGAAATGTTTGGGAGCAATCAACTGTATCACTTTGTAAAAGAGATTTATAAAAGGTAATCGAGTAAGTAAAATTATACTTTTCTGGAAATATCCGCGCGGTAGCGACGGGTCTTTAACTTGTCTGAAGTACACGAAGCCCCAGTAGTGCGTAGAATCAGCGCGCAATGTAGGCACGCTATCCTCGTTGTATAAGAGCTGCTGCCGCGTCAGTCCCGTTCGAGAACGCAGACGAACATGAAACTGGGTATCTCCCATACATCCTGAATTTGAGTCAGGGAACGCCAAATAACAAATATTGCACTTTTCCTGATCTGTTAGTTTTACACCAGGAGGATACACGCTTTCCATAGCTTGTCCGAGCTCCAAGTCGAACGTAACCACACATATGCAATGCAACCAGTCGGAAAACCTGCCCCATTTCGATAGGAACTCAAGTTCTGCCGCGGGCATTTCACCGTCCTCGTAGTTTTGCAATCCACAAGCCATGTTATTCACTGATTACCGAAAACACATTTCGACGAACCACTTTATTATTTTCTATTAAGTAATCACGTTTTTTGCACTATGTTATCATTGTTTATAAAGACGGAACGAGTTGTTAAACATTTTTTGTTAAAACAAGCGACAAAAACAACGGAGCGCACAGAAGTCGTCCTCGCAACAGCTGTTTGACACAATATGGCTGCGGGCGCCAAAACAAAAGTTAACCGAGTTTATCGATAAAAGTAAACAAAATTAGTGTAATGATTTTACTGTTCGATATTCCTAAACTTACCCACAATCCATAGTTTTTAAAACTTCACCAATTCACTGCTTTTAAATCATAGAATTCTATAAAAATCGGTTAAAATAGAGTTTCAAGCCCAAGCTGCTTGTTACATACGTTTAGTTACACTCAAAAACCACAAAGAAACACACTTGTATTTGTAACTTTGTACCTACCCATAATACTCCTGTTTTGCAAAAAAAACATATTACATTTTTTTAAGTATTTTTATATATTCGTAAAATCTTATAATTAATTCTAAAATTAATACATCAAGGCTAAAGGTTTCAGGGTATTTCGAAATATTCAGGGTTGTCAGACTTATCATTATTATACAATATTAATTTGTAAGTTAAGTAGGTACCTACTATGCCTTTGATTTGGCTGGAATTTTCTGAAACAGTAGCTATAATAACAATATATTATTCTAGCTTCCGCCCACGTGGTATATTGGTAAAAAGTAGCCTTTGTCTCATTACGGAGTATGCCCGTGCCTTTATCCAGATCGCTCCAGCCGTTTTGGCGTGATTGAGTTACAAACATCCAAACATCGTTACTTTCGCATTTATAATATTAGTAAGACTGCTACTTTTGGATATAGTAGAGTACCTATAATATATCCGTTGTAAAATGCAATGTTACGACAAACCTATACCTTCCACACATAATGTTAGGTTATAGGTTATTATCTAACATTTTTGGCGTCTACCTAGGTATAGCAAGTTCACAAACTACCTACCTACCTGCCAAAATATAAGTAGCTACCTATAATAAAACATTGGATTATAGACGTTTTCTAAGCTGTTGATTAACTATTATTCTCACTAGTCACTAAAGAGTTTGTTAATATAGACATCCTCATTCATTAACTTACTAAATACAACACAATTTAGGAAGTGTGGGAGAGCCATGCTTCGGCACGAATGGGTCGGCTCGACCGGAGTGATACCTACCACGGCCTCACAGAAGATCGGCGTGAAACAACCACAGCGTTGTGTTTCGCCGTGTGAGTGAGGTTACCGGAGGCCCAATTCTTCCCCGCCCCCAATCCCTAAATCTCCAAATCCCTAATCCCTAAAAGGTCGGCAACGCACTCGTGAATCCTCCGTTGCGGATGTCAATGGGCGGCGCTGATTGCTTACCATCAGGTAATCCGTCTGCTCGTTTGCCGACCAATTACATAAAAAATAATAATAATTACAGGTAATGAACGTAAAATATACCTAGAGCTTTTCGACGTTCGCTACATACCCATGTCCATGTACGGAAAACGGAGGAAAGACTTCAAGCTACGCAGAAGACTACCTATCTACTTGTAAAATTTCCAAACTCAACGGCCGGTAAAAGTTTAGGTCTGTGGACGGCGAGCCAGGGTCGGTCGCCGCCCGACCAGAACCAGAACCGGGCGCGCCAGATAGATCTACTAAACTACCACAGATTGGGCCCAACAGGACCGATGTTCAGCCGGAGTTGCGGGTAAGCATGGCCTCGCAGGATGAAGATCGGAGTGGTTTTTAGACAGTACGAATCTGAGAATCTGACATACCCTGGGTAAGAGAAGTCATTTGATGATTTTCTCCCTCAAAAAACCTTTCCTGTATCTACTGTGTAGTTCAATCTATAATGCTTTATCATTATTGTAGATGTAGAGGATCAGAGAAAAACAAAAATATTGGCATTATATTTATTCATGTAAACGAAATACAGGCTCAATCAGGGCTACATTCAGCCAATATGACTAATGGCCCGTTACATTTACTATATTACATATTCACTTAATAAGAATCACATTTTATATTTCAACTAAATACATCAAAAGTGGGTTTATGAATGACAATTGAAAATAATTTATCAACAATATTAAAACGGGCATACGAACACATGGTCATACATGAGTAAGAAAGGAGAACTGATTTATATTAGGTACGTACCTACATTGAATTATAAAAAACAACTAATAATTTTAATTAAGTATACTGTAACTTTTGTGTGGCCTATTCACGTAACTCGACTAATTTCAAGTCATACCCCGAAGTCACGTGAACCTTCGTTTTCGTTGCGTCAGGGTTTTGGTTTTCGCGCACGCTACTCATTGGTTTGAGTTCCAGGCTGTTTGACACTAGTCGAATTGCTCGAACATTCACGGGAATAAGCTAAATAACATAAGGTTGTTTTCGATTGCACATCAGGGCCACATTTATTTGTGACGCTGACGCGGCATACTGCTGCTATGTACGAAGAACTATCCAATTTCGCGCTTCGTAATTATTAATAATGTAGAAGGCAAATAGTCTTAGTTATGGAAAGTTAAAGCGCTTGTCCGCAGCGCTAATGAGGTTAGTGAATGAGGATCATTCCCGGTAGTAGCGACATCTCGTGGTCAGAAACAATAAAATTATATTTATTCTTTTGAATGCGTCGCACTGTCTGAGTCAATGCGATTACATTGTCCCGTTTTTTTTTTAAATATAATTGCGATAATTGGTCGTATATTTTTAGTCTACAATGGCTTGCAAGAATACGTATTCAAATTCCGTATATTTTAAGGGGCGATCACAGTACCTAATTTAAAAAAAAAGGATCTCAAGGGGAAATAGGATGAAATCGACAATTTGTTACACTAGGAACAGACAGACAGAAAGAGAAATGTAGAGGACGAAAATGAAATAATTGATTTGATTCCTACAAGTGTATTCAGTTCATATATTTGCAAGACTGTATAGAATTTCAATATTGCATCAAGACAGCCTATTTTTGTTAGTCATATGTTGTTAATTACAACTAAATTGTAAGTAAATATTGAAATCACTGTCTAGAAAACCAAGACGCAATTCAGTCTTTTACGACCAAAATATATACTCGCGCATCCGAAATTAATATACAAACTCCTTATTAAAAAAAAAAGTTGTTATAATAAAAAATAAAATAATACTTGTGAACTTGGAACACCATATAGTGTAAAAACGAATGAGATGGAAATGGCTTCCTACTTGTAAATAGTTTTAATATAGAAACTTTACAATTTAGAGAAAAATGTTTTTCAGATTTCATTAAATATTATTTAATATCTATAAATTATAATAAAAACGACATTACACCGTTGAACACGCACCAATTTTCGTAGAACAGACATCCCGAAAACATATTTTAACGATTAAATAATTAATTTCAATATTATGTCACATTTGTTAGATTTCTTTATTATACATTCAATTAATCAATAAAAAAATAAAACATCTGTTAGAGTATGAATTTATTTTAAATATATTTTTCATAAAAAGCGAATCCGGGACGTCTGTTTAGTTAAAAGAAATAAAAATAAAAAATCTACTTAAAATTAGATCGAATTAAGATCGTTACACAAACACAAATTAATTATCTGTGCACAGATTTTAAAAAGTGTTAAAAAAGTGCTAAATTATTAATCAAAGTGTAAACGTTTTGGATACATAGTAATAATAATAATGTATATAAAAAAAAACATTTAATGACATTGTTGCAAATAATAATTGGAATATCAGATTTATATAGGACGATTACTATGTAAAAAATGAATAAGTATTCACTCAACAGTAAAATTAAAAAAGAATTGGACACGTATTTTTCATAAAAATACTTTGATTCGAAATCACGTGACGTCACAACTTTAATACTTAGGCCAAGATCGACTAGAGTTTGCCTAGAGCAGGAGAAAGAACGATGGTTTTAGTCAGTAAGTCTGGCTTGCTCCGTCCAAAGTAGATGACCAGAAAAATCACCTGATGGTAAGTGATTTGCACCGCCCACTACATCTGAGGGATCTCAGGCACGTTGTCGGCCTTTAAATGGACATTTAGATCGACTTGGTTATCTCTCTAGAGATAACCACCCCTCAAAAAGAGGACCCATCTCGATTGCTTCTTGCTTACGCTGACACGCCGGCCCCCTTTCTCATTCCGTTTTCTGACCGTTAACAAAGACAGCCAAAGAATACTATACTAACTATGAAAAGTGCGGCTAGATGTAGTATCACCTTTGTAGCTGGTTTAAGACCATTTCCTATCGCCACAAGCCCCCACTTCTTAGATTTCAAACCAGTTTTTACATAATAAGTTATTTGAACAAACTCAAAAATACGTGTCTATTATTCCTTTTTAGTCTAACTGATGGACTAAATACATTTTTTTATCGTCCAACATTGATAAGGTCCAATTTTTAGCTTGGGGTTTTTATTATCTACAAACTTGCCGTTGTGGCCGTATGAAAGTGCCGTTTTCAAACGGCAATATCATAGAAACAAGTAATATTTCAGGCTGTGTGTACATTTAGGAGATAAAGTATTAATTTATTAGTTCTACTACCTCCTATGATACTTAGAAAATATTGTAAATTAAACATACAATTAGTATTTAGATTACATTGTGCTCTACGACCCATACGAATAGGGTCTAATTTCGTTCAACCCAAATGTTAAGACACAGCTTGAAATATGTGGACCATTGCACACTGTGTAATAGATTTTGAGTTCTATGCGTTAGTTGTAACTTTAGAATAAGTGGAGTAAATTTTCATTTTATTTGTAAAAACCTTTTTAATTGTGAGCTCTTTGCATATGCATATAAGGTTGCTTTTACAATTGGGTTTTATTTTGTTCCTTTATATAGTATTCCACTGATTCCAAAGCCCCCAAGCTATATCAGCTGCACTGTAGGCGCGGTGCAGCCTTACAAAATTATAATAACCAATAATAATAATAAATAATTTAACTTTTTAATTTCAAATACTTTAATAATATAATTTCACAATGGACATTCCACTTTCAAAATAAAGAGAATAAAAAAAATAGCATTTTTATTGAAAAAAATATAAGTACCTATAAGCGATCGCGTACAGTGGAATTTCGTCTTTATGTCTTAGTGATAAGGTTGTAAAGAGGTCTATCGAGTCTTTATATGCCACGAGCGCTGGTAAAAACCAAGATAATAGGTCCAATAGACTATTTACTAATGTCAAATCATTGAACAAAACATTAGATAGTTAATATTGGACGTAAAGGACTTACTTTACTTCAGCGCCATCTAGCGGTGACAAAAACAATAGACCTCTTTACAACGTCTTACGACCGCACAGCGCCAAATGTAGCTCTTTATATATGAGCATTATATATAGGAACAAACTGCTTAAAAAGCCGACCGAGCCAACGCCCTCTATTTGCATATCTACATGCTTTAAACTCCTGCGCAGATGTATTTAGCTTTGTCATGTAGTGATTTCAATTGACTTTTTAGTCGCGTAAAGTATTATTGTATGTTTCCATACAGTAGTATTTTGGATTAGAATTAAGGATGATATATTTCTGTTATATGTCTTGTATATTCTAGTGAATACAGAGGTATCGGAAACCTTAAATGCGTCACAATAGATAATTCAGGATTTGTATCCCAAAGGCATTAGATTGGCAGTGCCAGAAACCTAGATCAAAACTGAGGTAATATCTATGGCATCACAGTTTATTATATATAATTCATCAAAAGAGATACTATAAAAATTAAAAAAATGTCTCACTACATGACCATACCAGCTTATTACATACAAAAAATACATCTGCGGTAAATAATAGAAAAAGAAAATACTACATTACAGTCTACTGCCAAGTGGTGTTGCTAGCAACGTTCGTGTTGGTCGACGCGAACGCGTTCGGAAAACTCTGCCCTAAGTTCAAACTGTTGAACTGTTGAGACAAACCTTGCTGGGGCTGATTGAAAAACTGATTACTTTGGAACGGTGGATTACTCTGGAAAGGCTGATTCTGCAACGGTTGCTGTACCTGTCCCGGGAATGGTTGCTGGAACTGACTGTTCATGGGGAATTGATTGAATTGCATACCGTTTTGTACAGGCATGTTGCTGTAACCAGCTTGATACACGTTGCCGAATGCTGGGTAGGTGGGCTGCACCGGTTGTACTGGGGGTACGGGGTTAAATTGATTCACTAAATTAGTTGAAGGTGTCTGACTGTATAACGCTAATATACTGTCCTTTGTTAACTTTGATTTCTCCTTCTCTGTGGGGGCAGCCTGCTTGAAGAAGTTCTCCTCTTCAGTCTTCAGGTCCGGCTTGAGGTCTTCTGGTTTCGTTTCCGCTGGTTTCTCTTGAGGTGCTGAGAAAAAGCTCGAGAATATGTCGTCGTTGGCTGGTTTTGCGTCAGGTTTGGACCCTGTGTCCAGTCCAAGAAGATCCGCAGCTCCATTGGAGGCTTTGCTCGCATCTGATTGGCCCGTAGGTGGTGTGGACCTGCCCAATTTTGGACTTACTGACGATTTCGGTTTTGGAATACTGGGAATGATGTCAGACTTCTGAAAATTTATTAATAAATTTTTTTTCATTGTTCTTGTTTTGGTTATTTAGTTTTATACTATACAAATAAAACATCAAGATAACTTACATTATATTTCTTATCACTAGTGGAGGGCGCAGGCAGTGGCCCTAAGCCCGAGGTGGTGGATTTCTTTTTTCGTTTTTGCCTCTCTATTTCTTCATCAATCTCTTTATCCCTGGAAAATTAATTATAAAAATATAGCTAAAACATTTTTTATTTATTTAACACATTTAACGCCATTGGAAGATTTGCCCTTAACCGTAATCTTTCAGCTTACCAATACGACGGAGTCTAAGGAAAAAGTTTAAGCCTCAGTCCAAAGGATCAAGTAACATATAATAAGCATATTGATATACACATCTGCTTTAATGCAACGAGTTTCAATGGGCAGTGTTGTGTAAAAAAACCTTCCATAATGAAATCACTCACCAGTTAACCTTAGGCAGCGCAGGAGGCACCCACTCCTTAGCGATGTATTTCTTCTGTTCGTACTTGGCTCTGATGAAGGCTTCGAGCGAGGAGTCGTTCTGTGGCCTTCGGAAGGAGTCTGGTAAGTTAGCTTCGTAGACTGCACGGGCGCGGGAATTGCCCATTTGTTGCAGGGATACCTGAGACGAACAGAAAATTATGTTTAACAAAATGATATTATGTAAGTATAGAAAAGCAGAGCAATCGCTTTCTCTGTCCCTGTATTTTTTTACGAGTGCGTTGCCGTACTTTTGGTAATTAGGGATTTCGAGATTTAAGTGTTAGGGGATTGGGCCTCCGGTAACCTCACTCGCACGGCGAAACAACCCGCTGTGGTTGTTTCAAGCCGGTTATCTGTGAGGCCGTGGTATCACTCCGGTCTAGCCGACCCATTCGTGCCGAAGCATGACTCTCCCACACTTAAACAGTATTTCTATGTATGCTAAAAACTTCGCAACGGATTTTGATGCTGTTTTTAGGTAGAGTGATTTAAGAGGCAGGTTTATATGTAGGATAACAATCAAATAGTGGAAAAAATTAGTATCAACAATGCACCCGTGCAAACACGGGGCAGGTTGTTAGTCATCATCATCACCCTGATTAAAGGAGTCGGAAACGTCTGTGATGATACAGTCCGTCAAAAAAGTTTATAAAGTGAAAGCACTTTTTAATTTAATGTTAAGACCTGTAACTCACATATGCCCACAACAAAGATGCTTTGACTTTGACTTCTTTAATAAGGTAATCGTTAAACAGACATTTTTGAAAGTAAAGAAAAATGAAGAAGAAGAGAACAAGAATCGTATATAAATCTGCCCGTCAGCGTTGGTGAAGATCGGTAGGTACTCGTAATTAATTCAGAAGTTATCATACAAAAAGTATTTACCGAGCCAAAAATAATATCATAGGAAGAAAGTGTTCACAAAAATTAATGCCCCTACGTATCTACATAAATATTTAAACAAAAGCCGGCCGATTTTTGTTCATTGACGTAGTTTCGTTCTTTCGTAGTAAATCCTTAGACATCGGTACTAGTCACGCGACGCACGAATCTTTAATATTATACATAAATGTAAGCAGCACGTCATAGTATCCTTATTTGAAAACTTTTTTATTCGAAATCCACCCTTAAAGTTTAAGTTATAAAGTCGAAAATGTTTTGGATAGAATAGGGATAGCTTGATATGAGGTTGTACTTACCTACGTTAGTTCGTTTTTAATAATTTCGCAAGAAAAGCGTATGGCGATAAGAAAAAATTTAGTAGGTAGGTAGGTACCTACTACGTATTGTTCAAGGTAATGCCAAAAGTAGAAATATTTTTAGGTGATTCTTTTAAGTTTAGGAGAGTCGTACTTCGGTTTCCTAACGACCCACAAAAGGCTAGCAACGCACTTGTAACTCCTTTGGCATGGCCACCTTGATACCTCGTGATGACGCCGACCACCATAAACAGGGTAGAGTAGCGCATCAAAATAAACCTATGGAAATAGGTATTAGGAGTTCATTTATTAGCACATATTTCCCCCAACTCCAGGATCTGAATCAAAGGCTCTCTTTTCCTTGTTGTTTCAGGGTAAAATTAAATCCAATGACTCATTCCACCCTGGATGGAGGAGGAGAGTAGGAGTGTCAAATCTTACTGGCTAAAGACCACCATTACCTAATTGGGTAGCTTCCTAGGTCAAAAATAAATTAATTCGACGTTTCAATACAATAAAATATTGAAATATAACTATACTGTTATTCATCGATCGATCGATACACTAAATTTTTGATATTTTTTACCAACATTTTAAGTAATAAGTAGGCTATTTGACGCTATGACGCTATTCTATGACGTCATAACTCAGTGTTTCATACTAATTTCTAAGTTTTTGGCATTTATACATTATTGAATTTGACTAATTGGAAACTACCGTATTACTGAACCGGCCTACGGTATATTGTAGCGCTTCATGCGTTACCCTGACCAGGCATCAGCAGCCCTATTGGGGATCTTTGATGGTCTGATGCAGTCAGTTTTCGACCACTTAGACAAGTAATATCTATATAGATTTAAGGAATACCTAACAATGAAATTGAGGATATTGTCATTTGAAACGTGCCCATTTGTGGTCTATGTAGTTAAAATAAGTTCGTTAAATCAGTATTTATGTGAAGTCACCAGTTTTATTTTCATAATATTCATGTATGTTCCTCCTTGTCAACATTTATTTTGAGATATTTTTCATGTACAGGAACGCAACTTTTCAAAAAGGTGTAAATATTTAAATATTACATTATTGTTTATATAATTTAATTTATCCGTAATATTGTATGTAAACAGAGTTACAAATTTACCTGAAGCACAGTTAGTATACTGTTCAGGTAAATTTTCCTACAATTTCCTGCTGTAAGGTGAGACGACGGTGGTTTAATTATGCAAATATTTCTTTTGTACTTCATTTTCCTAAACAATATGTTAATGATAGGGTGTTCAAAGGCCCCTTTATCGCCTTAGAAGCAACTAAGTAGGAGGGAGCTGATACCCATAAGACATGTTCCGAGTTATATGTAGATATTTTCTAAGATAGACAGCTAGAAGCGGCGAAGAAGACAACTTTAGAGGAACCATGGACTTTCCAATTATAAGATTAAAATCGCCAACCTGACTTAAGCAAGCATAGTGCCCTTCTGCGTATGAGAAGAGGCCTTTTCTTAGCACTTCAGGGAGTTAATTTTCTCTAATCTTACTTTTCTTTCTTAAAATAATGCAGTACTTACAACTTGTTCCGGTGTCCAAGAATCGAGGTTGACGCTCTTCACCTTGGAGATGTGCACACCAAGATTTCGGTGGATGCCCGCGCATCTGATGCAGAGGAATATTCCCAAGTTCCATGATGCCCAACGGGGACCTGAGACAAATAGAACATTATAAAGCGTCTATACAATAATATCCTACTTATATTATTTATAATATGGATGTATGCCTGTTATTGTTTCACACAAAAACGGCTGGACCGATTTGATAAAAATTTGGTAGGTATATAGAAGGTGATGCCCTGGCTAACACAAAGGCTACTTTTTTTATTAACATACTGCGCGGGCGGATGCTAGTACAGTTATAAAGAAGTACCTTGTGTGAAAGAAATAATTTACTTTGGGAACTAAGTACCGGGCGAAAACGCTGTCAAAAACTAGATGGCAATACGGGTTAAAATCTCTGAATCTTTTAGGAACAAAATTGTGTACTGCGCAGCTAATCGGCTATCTCTAGACTCGCCAAGATACGCCGGCCGCACTATAGTCTTCTGAGACCCTCAACATGAATACTGTAGCAATAACCGTCACTTGAGGTTTCGGTTACGGTATTCTCATGGTTGTATTGTATCCACTGTAGGTCCTGGTTTATAGGAATTGCAGAGGTTTTGCGAATTGCAGACTTATCTCTTATGAAAAAACCTAATCTACTACTGAGGTTACCGGGGCCCCCTACCCCCATCCCTTCCCAATCCTTAAATATCAGAAACCCTCAACCCGAAAGGCCAGCAAAGCTCCGTAATAGTTGCTGGTGTCCATGGGCAGGACTGATTGCTTACCATCAGGTAAACTGTGTGCTCGTTTGGCGACTTATCCCATTCAAAAAAGTAAAGCAAATTCACACTAGACGCTATGATAATACAATACGTAATCATAACGAGTATACTACAGTATGTTTAACGATTGTTTTATTAAATCAGGACTGTTTAACGTTGCGTTGATGAAAGGTTTTGAAACATCAATAACTCGTAAATGTTTCACCTAAGCGGAATGCGGACGGAAATTGTCATAAACTGATTCTCACGATTGTAATTTTCGGGTGATATCCGGCATTACTGGATTGCTTTTTAATTCGATACCTACTCGGAACTCTGTATTGTTAAACAGCATTTAGTGGATATAATAAGGGTTAATTTACACAACAAGAAAAGGGGGTATTTCTTAAACTTACTAGAGCAATAATTCAATAAATGTAGGGCTTGTTTACTTAAGTACTGGTTAGACTACTTAAGGCCATTTTACTTTTGAGATGAGAAAATTATTAAAAAGGTTTTACTGCCATCGTTGGGACAAGCATATTTATATTATAACGCTTACAACCGCAACCCGCAACCCCAGAAAATAGAAAAAATATTAAATTTAGCTTTTGGACTAAAGCTTATATTACTAATTATTATTTGCTGCAGAAACTGTAGAATTATACGTAAAGTAAGTAGTCAAAAAAGATATTCGCTTCACACACACACAGACAGTTCGTCAAACGAACAGAGAATCCCTAATTATTATTATTACTATTTGTCTTAGTATTTGCAGAAATCTTGTTATTATGAAATTCATTTCAAGTATGCACCATTTCCATATTGTTTATAACGTAGCAGATAGGCTCATACAATTACCAGTTTCCTGTTGACCATAATTTGCAATTAATGCAAGGTCTCCATTTACCTAATTGTTATTTCATCATAAATTTTTAAAATGGCTATTTAACTGTAAAAGTAAGTAGCGTATTGTTCGTTTAGCCAAACAAATGAAAGAAAAAATAACTAGAGTTCTGAATCCTACAAAAATATATTTTTATAAGAAAGATCTTAGATAGCCTAATAACCTTTATGTCAAGAAAGCAGATTATAATAAAAATTGGGAGCCATGCTTCGGTACCAATGGGTCGGCTCGATTGATACCAGAGCCTCCCAGATAACCAACGTAAAACATAGAGCAGTGGTGTAAGTGAGGATAACAGAAACCCAATTCTTCCCTTCCTCCAATCCCTAAATCTCCCAAATTCTTATCCTCGAAAGTTCGGCAACGAACTCCTAAAAACTCGTAAATCCTCTTTTGTTGCGGCTATCCATGGGTCGCGCTGATTGCTTGCCATCAAGCTGACTACTAGTTTGCCATCCTATCACATAAAATAATAATATCGTTTTTTATGTACAAAAAATGCTTAGCATGTTACAAAAATGAACTACAAATTCAGGATCATTCTAAGCTTCTAGAAATTGATAGAAAATATTTTGGTAAATTATCATTGACTGTGATATTAGAATATTTATAAAAGATAACTGTACCTAATCAAATGTTTTCGTTGATAAAAATATCAATGTTGGACATTTACCATTAACAGTGCTGTCATTGAGATAAGAAGATAATGAGGAAGAATTAGTGGGTAATTTTTTAATTAACATTTCTTTACAAGTATGGGGGTCAATAAACAATGAAACAATGATACTGATCTGTTGGTCATTACAGCTCCTTTTTTCTAGTTTAGGACTTAAACTAGCAGACTTATCATCTGATGGTTCAATTTGCGCCGCCCATGGATACTCGCAAGACCAGGGGAGATGTAAGTGTGCAATCTTTTGTGATGAAGGATGGGATGGTTGGGCCATCAGTAACCTCTTTCACCCGTTTTTTCATGCCAGTCACAACTCATTGAAATAATGATATAAATAAATAAATAGAAAATGTTTTATATCACTATGTTTTATTTCCATCCCTTTTCTTGTTTAGCTCCAGGCCAGGGCCAACATTATTGGCCTTAGCCTGAAACCCTGAATGTGCCTTCCTCCGTCTGTTCACAATCTACTTTAAGACTGTGAAATGTTTTCTGCTGTGTTCACTAGTGTTAAGGAGTTCAGGTAAGGTTAAATTCTTTACTTTAAGAACAATATGAAAATATAAAGTTTTTCCCTTTTATTCATATGCCCAATATCAATTCCAGACATGATTTATAAGTTTGGCCATTCAATCATGGTAATTCGATACACAATATAAGAACAATAGGTATGCTAACACCATTATTTGCCTGGGGTTTAATGAATTAAATATGTATTTTTAAAAAGGCTTTATAGTTCACATGAGGATGGTACCTATACATAAGTTATATATGCATTGTCTTCAAACCAAGGCAGAAATATTTATCATAAATAAGATGTTTCAATGGCTTCCATTGCATCACAAATAATAATGCATTCAATAATATTATGTCATGTCAATTGTATATGTTAATGTCAATATTATAGCTAGATAAAAAACATTTAAATGAAAAGGAAGAATGATGACATGTTATTTTTTTTTTTTGCACATTGCACTGAATTAGTAAGTAGGTAATTAAAAAATGCAGAATACCACAGACAGAGGAAGTCATTTTTATATTGATACAAAAAGACTGGTTTGGAATAATTTTAGAAAGTGATTAGATTAAAAATTAACAACAAAGATACTTTAAAAAGTATTATTGACATTGTTATTGTTAACTCATTTGTTAGATGTTCAGTTATCTTATAAAAGTCCTTAATAAAAGTATAACTTACACAATAAATATTATCTTGCAATCATGAAGTTTAAGTGCTAGTATAACATTGAGTATGCTTTAGCAAAAGAACTGGTTGTTCCACACAATCAGCTGATTTCTTTAAGTAGAGGCAGAATGCTAGCTAACACTAGTCTTAAAAACATATTATCCATACCCATAGAGGATTTTTTATCAGAATTCATAGACATGGTTTTCTCTAACTTTGCCAACAATGATAGTGATATTAGGCCATTGCCATGGCGAATTAGGAATTGAGGTAATACTAGCAGCCGTCATCGAGCAATTCCATTCCATTTTGAAACATTCCAATGAATCATTCAACCAAAAAGGAATTCTTTGTTAGATTTATTTGTTTGCCTAACCATTTCTAATTTCTTGTATATACACCTTCTAAGTGAGTACGAAAATAGTAGAAATGTGTGCTACAAAGCTGTAGTAAAACAGTTATTACAAGATAACGTGAGTCATTTGAATAATTTCGATGTTTTAAAATTGAGTTCAAGGACCTCAATTACAATTGCGATTTTTACACAAGATATAAAGAACTGCAATTTGAGATCTACGTTATACAATTATATTGCCATTTATAAAGCTTAATCAGAAAAATGAGCAAACAAAATAAGAAAAAATCCGCGTACCTTTAGCATCGCAATCAACACAATATTTATTGTCTTCATCCTTCAACATTTGCATCAATATGTTCTGACATCTGTCCTGGATTTGTTTGGCTCGATCTTTTTCACTTTTAGAAGACATTTCTTTAAGGTATTATAAGCAAACGATATCAAATTCAATGAAAAATGGGTGGAATGCTTGTTTGTTGAAGGAAAGAGAAACCATAGAGCTAATATGACAGTAATTTTGATGAGTTGTGTTGTCATTTTCCTCTATGATTTTTGACGGCAGTAGAAAAAGCCTTACACACATTTTTTTCTTTCCAAGTAAATAAAAGACAATATTGTTATATTAATTGTTTTCTGAACGAAAACCTTTACCATAACTGGTTATTTTTGGAGAATCAATCAGTCTGATTGTTAATTTTAAAATGGTAGCATGGTTTTAAATCAATTTAGAATTTCCGAACGCATTTCTCTCTTCGATATTGGGGTTCCCAACTTTATTGTTTTCCCTTCTAAGTATGGGAAAAAAAAACATGAGTTTCGGAGTTTCAGTATTCTTTAATTTTGATTTTCGTGTGTTAATATTTAATTTTAAGTAATTGCTCTCAATATATAAATTATTGATAGTTAAACATTGGTTACTCTTGTTTGTCCTGGAGTGATTTACGCATTCTATCTCAATCAGACCACACCTCTTCTTTAACTTTATTTTCTTTCATATTAGCAGCTAAATTATGGTGAAAATGGTGTGTCAGTTTATCAAAATATTTTAATATTAGGGGTAAATTTAATTTAAGTCTTAAGGACTAGCGATTTTGAGAGTTGGTAATACTAGTAACAATTTGTTGTCAAACTTTCGAACTGGCAGCTGGCAGTCAATTGTCAATAATTGTAATTTTTGCTTTGTTTTGAATACATACGTGCACTTATTCAGGATTTATTTTCTAGTATTTAATCGTAGTTATTGTGTTACTAAATAATAAAGTACAAAAGCTTTTTTCAAGATTTCCGAGATATTAAAAAGGAAGGTTCGTCGTTAAATAAATTAGGAAATGTGTTAGACTGAATTACTTGTAGATTACCTATAACATTACACGATGGGAAATCAGCTTGTGGGGGTTGCACCGTCGCAGATTTATCCTGTAGAACATTATCTGAGTGACCATGTGGACCTATCATTCGATCAGAGGTAAGATACAATTTTTAAAAAAAGGTGATATGTAGGTATTCTGAAAAATCACTTGATGGCATTTATAAATTAAGATACAAAGTTAAATTTACGTCTTGGCATTGCCACTTCTTTGTTAACATACGATGACAAATAACAGATTTTTAAAAGTTACGAAAATATAATCTAATCTTTTGTTTAAATACCATAAAGGTAAAAAGGGTAGGAAAGGGTTGTTTGCTTGATTGTGGTAAATACACAATGGAGCGTTATCCATCAAATAAACATAGGAGACAATTTTTATCTTTGTGGTTACAAACTGTTTGAGATAAGAAATACATGTTTGAGAAAGGCATGTACCATTAACAGATTAGTTTCACTCAATAAAATATTAAATGATATTACATAATTTTACATATACCCACACACAGGAATATGTATTACAAAAACTTGGAAAACCAATTAAAATTTTTTCTCCTTCATTCCTCAGCATAGCTTATCTCAGTGTTCTGGGGGTTGCCAGACTAGTGCAATGACTCAATACTCAAAATAAATATTTATTGCATTCCACAATGTTAACTTAGGTGGTAGGGTACATAAGGATTTACATACTTATATTAGTTTAGGAGCATTGTAAGCCCTATCGAGCATAACTATGACATACCACACGCTATTCCACTCCTATTGGAGTGGGAATAGGGTGGTATTTAGTCAGTGAGAGTCTGACATCCTCTGACTCTTACTGCATATAGAGCACGAGGAGTTATTAGAAATATGTATACCGGGTTACCGGAGGCCCAATCCTTCCCCTCCCCCAATCCCTCCTAAATCCCTAAATCTCCAAACCCCTAATCCCTAAAAGGTCGGCAACGCACTCGTAACTCCTCCGTTGCGAGTGTCCATGGGCGGCGCTGATTGCTTACCATCAGGTAATCCGCCTGCTCATTTGCAAACCAATTAAATAAAAAAAAAATGTCTCCCTGATAAGACTGATCTTAAATACTATGTCTGAATTGGTTTCGGCATTTCTTGTTGCCTTAGTTTCATTGTTTAATATGTGGAAAATGTATTAATTATAACATAAATTAATAGTTTTTTTACATGTTACCAATTATTGGTAGGCAAACATAGTAATACTGTTATACTACCTTAAATCATTTTAACCCACATAATATATATAATAAATTTACTTATTTTTCTTTCTTTCCAGCCTCGGTTCCACCCGTTTCTTGAAGGTAGCTCGTGCTAGATCCCGTGAGGGACTTGTGGTTGTAAAGGTATTTGCGGTACATGATCCTTCACTCCCGCTAGCTGAGCATAAGGAGCGGATCCTGAAGATAAAAGAACAGCTAGCTTCTGCATTCAACTGTCTGCCTTACCAAAGAGTTATTGTAAGTTTTTAATATGTAATATATAATAAACTAAATTCTTACAGCTGCTTCACATACTTTCTCTTTGATTTCTTGTTTTAAAAGAAAAAATTGCCACATCTTAGTTTTTTCTATGGGTGCACAAACATACAAATTCACATTAACAATCCACCTAGACTAGATCATTCAAACTGTTATTTCATGCGGAAATCGAACCCGTGAGGCATTGCACAGTAGTCACTGCGCCAACTGTGTAATACCAAGGTAAATAATAGTGTTATTCCAGATTATAATCTATATCTTTTTTTTTCCTTCAGAACTTAAAAAACTAAGTATTTGTGTAAAACACTAACAAACATCCTACCTGCCTTACAAACTTTTACATTTTATTCAATTAAAACATAAATAATGTTTAGAGTACCCTCGACTAATTTATTTCTTTCAAAATGTTGATGAATTACAAAATCTTATAAAATACAAAGTTCTGATACTTAATTCATAAAAATGGTGATGCCAAATTTTTGGATTAACATTGGGCTTTTTACCAAAATGTTAGGGTACATATATTAATATGCAAATCATCAATTATTTTTTCCTACCCTGGGGGGACGGGGGAAGGCAAGACTCTGTTAGCCTTTTTTTCTCATGCTTCTTATTGTAACCTAACCATGTTGGACAGCAAGTTCCACCATTTTTTTGTGATAGGATGACAAATGAGCCGCTGGAGTGGTAACTCTCAAGCCGACCTATTTGTGGTTCAAAGTTCAAAGCATGGTTCCTCCTTATACTCTCCACCTAGTTAAATTTATTCTAATTTTGAATGTCAAAAACAATTTGTACGAAATTGTGAGTTTTCGGTATCATATTTTATTGTTTGTTTCAAATAACATAATACATATCAGGAAATTAAAATCTAATCTAATCTATCTTTTGTCCAATAATTAGCTGTCATTAAGCACTTCCTTTGTAATGGTTGTTTAAAAATGTTTGTTTAATTGTTGTGGTCTTTTACAATTAGGAGAAACTCGATAGTGTCTAATTGTTATATAACATCCATTTGTTTCTTATCCAAGTCCAAGTAAAATAGAGTATTTTGTCCATGTCTTATCACTTACAAGATGAATTTGACCGCACGTATGGTGCGGTGGCTGGGCAACAGGCTGCCGCGCCACGTGTCGTGGATTCGGTTCCTGCACGAAACAACTCTTTTATGGGATTCAAATTGTTGATCCGGGTCTGGGTGTGATGTGTACGTGTAATTGTATGTTTGTAAACGTATCCACGAAACAGGAGAAAATCATAGAGAGGAGCAAATAAAAAAAAAAAGAATAAGAAAAATAACTGCTTAATTACTACTTGAAAAAAAGATGCATCGATATAACACACAATAATTAGGTGGTTTTATCTATGGAAAATAGTTTTTTTCCCCTAATAACCCTGCTCAAGTATCTAAAAATACAGACACTCTCACTTGCTTAATGCTTATTCAATTTTTTCTATTTAGTTGTTTTTTAATTCTCTAACTATATTTCGTTTGTTTTGTTAGATATCTAAAAAACAAATTTTTACTGCACTGTTGGTGCGCTGGCTGGGCATCTGGCTGCCGTGCAACGTGTCGCGGGTTAGATTCCTGCACCGAACAACTCTTTGTGTGATCCACAAATTGTTGTTCCGGGTCTGGGTGTCATGTGTATGTGAAATTGTATATTTGTAACCGCACCGCACAGGAGAAAATCCTAGTGTAGGGCAAAGTTATTACGTAAATTAAGAAAAATACTAAAATACTTTGAATAATTTCTTTATTTACAGTTGACAGACAAAGCTGGGTTGTTGATGCGTGAGTACTGCAAGTTCAGCGTATACGACCGCATGTCCACACGTCCATTCCTCACCACGTTGGAGAAGAAATGGATCACCTTTCAAGTGCTTTACGCTCTGCATCGCATGCACAAACTCGGTATATGTCATGGGGATATTAAAGTGAGTATTCCACTATCCTCAAATCCTCAAATCCCCTATCCTTTAATCCTGAATAATCAGGCGCTAGCAACGCACTAGTACTTCTGTAGTAATTTCTTTAGTATTGCGACTGTCCATGGGTGGCGCCGATTATTTGCCATTACATTAGATACTCCGTCTGGTCGACGACCTTTTACACATTGGCCCAAGGTATTGGGCCAACCTATTGGCCCAACGAATAGAGGGCTATTTGGTGATATGTTGGTAGCGATGTTCCGGTTGGCGCCAATATTGTCGAGCAAACCAATTGTTGTCCACACATCAAAGGATCTTGGCGCGCCGCTACCAACATACCGCCAAGTAGCACTACACGATGGGCCAATAGCTTGGCCCAATACCTTGAGCCAATGTGTACTGCGGGGTTATCATTTTGGCCCAACGCCTTGGCCCCATGTGTACAGCCGGCTTTATAATTTCATCAAGCCTGGCTTATTGAATCAGTTGGACAGCGTTTGTTTTAGAAGACAAGTGAAAATGGATTGCAATATATAAGTCTATTGTGATCTCTCCAGTGTGCATTATTTTACATTCTTAATTTATTGAATTTGTCCGATGAGACGAGAGTTGTGTTGTGAAATGAAACTAGTAGCTTTTCTCAGTTTATTCGCATAATTTTTGTTTGTCAGCGTATATGATAACGCCACGGTCTTCTTGTAAGTTTAGTAACAATAGAAAGACAATATTAAAAAATTAACTAATCTCCTGTTAAATCTCTTGTCAAGTCATCTGATTGGTTGTTGATAATTCATTCAACCAATCAGATGACTTGACAAGAGATTAAATTGATTTTAACATTGATCGGCCTTTCGGAAACCGGTTATTAGACTTTTTACACAATAATGTTTCAGTAATTGTAGGAATTCTCAGTAGTATTTGAAATTAAACTTTATTTTTTTGCAGCTAGAGAATATAATGGTGACATCCTGGCTCTGGGTGCTGCTCACAGACATAGCATCATTCAAACCCACCTTCCTACCTGATGATAATCCTGCTGACTTCAGCTATTTCTTCGATACCTCACGCAGGAGGCTCTGCTATGTTGCGCCAGAGAGATTCGTGAGGGCACCCGACCCACATAATAGACCTGGGGTAAGTTTTAAAAGGTTTAAAATATAGATCTGTTTTTTAATGGTTGGGAACACACTTTTTCTCTCCTGTTGCTGGCTGGTCAGCTCTGACTGAGAACAAGATTTAACTGTATTCAGATTTTATACTTCTGATATTTAATATTGTATTTATTACTACTTAATAATTATTATTTAATTATTTTGTGCCCATGTGCGTTTGCTTACACACCAATCTCTAGTGATGAATTTCAAATAATTGTAAAATAATAACAATGTCAAAACTTCTTAACACAGGGTGACGACAAAATGGGTGGGCTTTTGCTGAGTGAATCACCCTGTAAAGTCGGTGAACTGGTACCAAGTATGGACATTTTCTCAGCCGGGTGAGTTAAATTATAATATGAACATTTTATTGACGCAATCTCATAGATATTGACTGCACGGTTGGTGCGGTGGCTGGGCAACTGGCTGCCGTGCAACGTGTCGCGGGTTCGATTCCCGCACGGAACAACTCTTTGTGTGATCCACAAATTGTTGTTCCGGGTCTGGGTGTCATGTGTATGTGACATTGTATGTTTGTAACTGCACCCACGATATAAAAAATCCTAATGTGGGGCAACGTTTTATATAAAAAAAACATCTCACTTTATCTGTTCTTAATATTATTAAACCTCTGGGTTTTTTCTCAAAAAAATATTTTTGTGTTGTATACTGGAGACGGCTACAGGCATATTAATATAGGCAAAATCACGTTACGACCAATTTCCTTGTTTCTTCTTATAAATATGTTATAGAAGTGGGCAAATTAATTTAACATCAGAAATCATATCACAGCTATCCACACCTCATTTTGACACACTTTCTAACTCCCCACAGGTGTGCCCTCCTCGAGCTTTGGAACGATGGAACCCCAGCGTTGGACCTACCAGGTCTCCTCGCATACCGTAATGGTGAGGATAGACCTTCCACCATGACTCTTAGTACTGATGACGAAGAGCTGAAGAACCTGCTGCACTCCATGACTGAAAGAAACCCAAGGGATAGGAAATCTGCTGAACTGTATCTTGATGAAGCTAGGGGAAAGTGAGTCGGATATTTTGGCATTTTTATGGATATTAATTCACTTACTATTATTAAATAAAGAGTTATTGTTTTATTCCTATGGGAATAAATCCAGTAAAACTGGTATTTATTATCCTGCTATCTGTTTCGAGATGATAAAATAGCACACAGGAAAACTAGCTATCTATCAATGAAAGAATTTTGGATATCCGACCAGTTATTCTGAATATTATCCCCTACATAAAAACTTACAATTACCTCTTTACAATATTAGTATAGTTTTCTTGCCTTTGTATTGTCAAATCAGTTTTAGGATTACTACAAAAGTGTTTGTAATAGGATAGTCTCAAAAACTAGTCATCATGCCATTCCAAATTAAACTCTAAACACAATTCAAGTAAATGCAAATTCCAACAAAAACGTCCTTTATGTAGGCTCATTTTTCCATAATTTTGTTCCAGATTATTCCCTGAATACTTTTACTCGTTCCTTCAATCGTACATGCTGATATTCTCCGGACAGCCAATCCTGCCACCGGACGAGAAAATACTACGCATAAACCAAGACATTAAAAACATAATAAAAATATTTACCCAACCCTCGGACGCCAAAAACTACAAAGATCTGGTCGAAGAGACCACAGAACACCAATCGGTTGACAATATCGACAAATTAAAGGACAATTTTAAAGTTTTGAACGTGAATACTACAGATTTTGACGAAGAGGACGATAAGGCCCCTGAGATTAAAGATTTGAGTCCTGACAGTGAAGGGTTGATTTTGATTACGTCGCTTGTGACGTCATGTATAAGAGGGTTGCACCATTGTACCTCGAAATTGTACAGTTTGGAGATTTTGCAGTTGTTGTGTGAGAACTCTAGCTCCGAAACTATATTGGACAGGATTTTGCCCTATATCGTAAGTATAAAACTTCAAATAAGTGATTTGAAAAGTATTTTGTTAAAGTTTCGTATGTAAAGGTGACCACGTAAACTTTATTACTAAGAATGTACTGTCCGTCCGTCTAACTGTCTGTCTGTCTGCATGTCATGAACCGCTATTGTTGGGGTTAAAATTTGGACAAATGATATATTCGTGACTTGCGTTTGGCCGGCTTTATAACGTTAATGCTTCTCCCAATCCTCAAATCCCTTAAATGTGCACATGTAACTTCGCTTGCTTACCATCAGCTAATACGCCTGATGGTAAACAATCAAAATCGAGACGATAACCTAAAACAACCTGGTTCCAAACAGGCAGACAGACATACAGACAGTCTTAATAATAGAGTTCTCGTATTTACGCTTTAGGTTTTACCTTAAAAATGAACCATATAGTTGACCCCTTTCCTCCATAGATCCAGCTCTCCCACGACAATATCCCCCGCGTCCGCGCCCGCGCTGTATGGACCTGCGCACGCGCACTGGCTGCTGTCAGGGGATTACCGCAGTCCGATTGTAACGTGTTCCCCGAGTATATTTTGCCGGAGTTAGCTCCTAGGGCTACTGACCCCAGCGTGCCTGTTAGAATTGCGTATGCTAATAATATTGGTGAGTTTTAACTTGTTATTATTGAATAAATAATATCTTAAGTCTATTTGCTTATAACATTTATCAGGGCCAGGTTCATATAAAAGGACTTTATTAAACAATAACATTTTCATTGAAGCTACAACTTTTAAAATATTCTGCCATTACACTTTCTGGCTAACTATCGAATTTCCTAGCTAGACTAAACCAAAAAACCAAATACTAATTTGCGCAAGTGCGCAAATTTGCGCAATTTTGGCGCAACAAATAAAAACTATGTATATTTTTTTTATATTCCAGCGAGATTGGCGGAGACGGCGGTTCGTTTCTTAGATCAGACACAGAATATGGTGGACAAGGAGGCAGCTAACATTAATTATGAAACAGAACTCTCTGCTCTGCACGAAATGGTATGTTATTTACAATTACATACATTTTATTTGATATAATTTTATAGCAGCGATCATGGTTAAATGTGAAAGTATGTTATTTTTTTAAAGTTGACATAATTTACCTTCTGTATACTGCATTAAATATTATTAGGTAGCCTAGGTTGTATGTAGTCCAGTGCTGAACTATAACATACATAGGCTATACCATTATTAAGAATGTTTAGATCGAAAATCCTAATAAACTTTGCCAGATCCAGGGCTTAAATCCTCAGCCGGGGTTGCGGGGTAAGCGCAATGAGGCACCGCGGCCTCGGCCCAGAGCAGGAGAAGGAACTGAGAGGTTTTTTGTCAGTAGGAGTCTGACACTCAAATCATCAAATGATACTATGAAACTTGGACATGTCATTTCATTTTTTTTCCATTACAAAAAAGAACACTGGAATTACACAGTACTAGCTACCGACTATTAGTTTGCATCACTGCTTGTCCCAGGTGCGGTCGACAGTATCCTACCTACTGACAGATTCGCAAGCCGTCGTAAAGCGAGCGCTGGTTGAGAACGGCATCACGAAGCTGTGCATCTTCTTCGGAAAGCAAAAAGGTAAGTACGGATAAATAGGCAGGGGGTGACTGGTAAACTCAATTAATGGGCCCCGGAAACGGCCGCTAGCATGTAGCGACACGGGGGCGACATACGTTGAGCTGCTTGGGGCAGGAGAGGCATCCCACTCCTATCAGAGCAATCCAGCACCTTACTGAGATACATTCTTCCCCCGAGTCTGCTTCAACTCTACTTATTTTTTACTCATTATTATGTATGTCTTTAACAATCATGGCACATAGTCCCGGTCATTTGGAACTGAAATACAAGATAATTTTAATCTGATTGAAATGGCACAAGCTGGCGACTATCCATGTAGGCACTACGGATCGACACCCAAGGCTAGCCCCCGGCTATGGGTGTGGGTTGCTATGGACTAGTATAATGGGAACTATGGAAGGACTATGGCCTAAAAAACTATGTAATATTTACAAGTGTCAAATGACAGATGGAGCCACGCTAACTCACCAACAGGGAATGACCCCGAGAAGGCTTGCTAGAAATAGCAACCGAAAGAAAACGGTGTAATTGTGTTTTTTTATATAATAAAACTGCAAACGAACTGGCGGTTTAACTGATGATAAGCAATTAGCGCCGCCCATGGACACCTGTAAAACCGGGGGAGTTACAAGTGCGTTTCCGGACTTTTGGGGACTTAGGGATTGGAGAGATTGGGAGGGGGGGGGGGGGCGGTAACCTTACAAATTCATAAATTCGTACGAGATGTGTGTATGTGTGATGTGGCGAATATTTATTTTCTCTGATAGCAAACGACGTGATCCTCTCCCATATGGTGACGTTTCTGAACGACAAGGAGGAGGCGGCACTCCGCGGCTGTTTCTTCGAGAGGGTTGTGGGAGTCGCCGCGTACGTCGGCCATCATGCCGCGCCCATACTTGTACCTCTACTGCAACAGGTAAGGAGATTCATGCCCTCATTGGACCCTTGATTTGGTAAAATAAATTGTTTAAATTTTTCAACGGTAAAACATATTTAAATAGGTTGTAATAACACGGTCATTGATTGATTTTACGATATGTAAATTTCGTATGTTTTTACTACAAAAATGTGACGTTTCAACGTACAATAATATCCCGTAGAAAAATTACAGAAAACTGTTGAGTATTTAATCTTTTATGGTTTTACTACAAGAAATACTTCCAAGAGATTAAAAAAAAAATATAGTTCATTTTTTATTTATGTGATTCGACGGCTAACAACCATACGGATTACCTGATGGTAAGCAATCAGCGCCGCAATTGGTGACCCGCTACAAGAAAGGAGTTACGAATGCGTTGCCGACCTTTTTGGGATTAGGGATTAGGAGATTTTAGGATTTGCTTATCTTAGATATTCGTACTATATTAAAAATTACTTATATTAAATGTAACAGGGTCTAACCGACCAGTCGGAGTGGATAATAGCGAAGGCCCTCCGCGCCACCACCAACCTAGCGGAGATGGGGCTACTCAACAAACAGACACTCTGCGACCTCGTTGCAGAGAGTGCCGTGTTCCTCGCACACCCTAACTTGTGGGTAAGTACACAACTATACTTATCCTGAAGTTTCAAACTAATTTAAAATAGAGAATTTTGTTAAAAAAAGTATCTTATCTTTAGTATAGTTATGTCTTGTTAGATATAATTTTTTTTATTGATCAGTCACTGTCCATAACGCTTTCTTTTAATACGGTAGTTTGGAACTAGTCAAATTCAATACTTTTATCCAAATGTCAAAAACGACACTTTTCTATGAAATTTTTATGAAATATTGAGTTATGACGTCATATTATTTTAGGTCAAATAGATTACTTGTTTATTAAAAATTTGCTAAAAAATTTCTAAAATGTTGTGTATGCATTAAACTATAGTTAATTTTCGATATTTTATAGCATTGAAACGTCGAATTTATTTATTTTTGACCTAGGAAACTACCCAATTGTACGCTGTAGCTACCTTAATATGTCGTGCAACTAGCTTGAAACTTAATAATTGTTAACTATACATTTAAGTGTGTGTGATAACTACTGGTGGTTCTAATAAATAATCAAATTCAATACTTTATTGAAATACTTTACTGTTTACCGGGATTTATTTATTTTACACTTCTTACACAACGTACAATGGCGGACTTAACGCCTTAAACGTTCTCTGCCAGTCTACCGATTTAACGCGCACGTATCTTTTTTATTTGTTTTTTGAGTCTGCTTGTGGCTATAGGAGGTTCCGCCAGTGTTACATCTGCCATGGCCTCAAGCAGACTCAAAGAAGACAGTCTGACACGGGATTGTTAGACTGTCTTTTTCTCACACCATCCAGGGCATATCCATCTTGTAAATATTTCAATAATTGAACTGAACATGATGTTTTTCATGACTCTTATAGTATAAACCTGTAGTTCACATCTAATATTCATTGGATGTTTATTATACATATACAGCTTTCTCTTCAATCACTCTATCTATCAAAAAAGTCGCATCAAAATCCGTTGCGTAGTTTTATAGATTTAAACATACATAGGGATGTTGGGACAGTGAAAGGGACTTTGTTTTATACTATGTAGTGTTAACGTTTGTCCCTGGTTAGATCCGACAGGAGGTGTGTGGGTTGGTGTCATGTGTAGCGAGCTTGATGAACCCCATCGACGTGCACTGCAAGATACTGCCACTGGTCTGGCCGCATCTCAAACATAAGCTTATACAGGTAATGTACCATATTTATGTAAAAACTATCTTCTGCCTCGCCGGTACAAATCATAGCGTGATGTTTTATAGCATAAAGCCTTTCTCCATAAATGTACTAACAAATACAAAAAATATTCAATTCGAAATAGTAGTTATGGAGATAAGCGCGTTCAAACAAACAAACTCCAGCTTTGTAATATTATAGTCTAGTTGTGGTTAAATAAATAAGATTCGAGTAAGCTAATCTTCTCCGTATGAAAAATATTTTGCCTAGCATCATCATCGTAAAGATTTCGAGATTGTTTGAGATTAAAAAAAATAGCTGGATGTTTAGCTATTCAATGTGCATATATCTCACCGTTATGGGCTTCCTTTTTATCTTGAGACTTACTGTCTACTTGACTTGATTGCTATCTAAGTACCTACACTATTAAAGCAAATGATTGACACCGTGGTAATCATTATGTATAAAAATGGATCGCAAAACGTGTCGGTAAGCGCATAACTCCACAACGCCTGGACCAATTTTGCTAATCCTGTTTTTGTTGTGTTTGTTATTGTCAGGAGAAGGTTCTTATCAAAGAAAATATTAGAAAAGTAGAGGGGAAGATTAGGAAAAAGTGACCCTTTGATAGCGAGATAGTTGGACCCTTGCGAAGCGGGGGGCGGGCCGCTAGTTAGAAAAATAACATTAATTAACTTGTACCTCGCAGGTGGAAAGACCAGAACTCCTGTTGGAGAGTCTCTCGGAGCCGATCCCTCGCAAGGTGTTGGATGCTGTACTCCGGCACGGGGACGTGGACCGGCTCGTGCAGACTCTACGCGAGAGGAGGAATACTAGACTTAAGGTACCTAATGAACATGTGTTTTAATTCAAATAAAAAGGCACTAATGCCCGGTTTCCGAAAGCCCGATCAATGTTAAAATCAACTAACTAAGTCATCTGATTGGTTGTTGATAATTCAGTCAACCAATCAGATGACTTGACAAGAGATTAAATTGATGTTAACATTGATCGGCCTTTCGGAAACCGGGTGTTAGTCATTTTCGCATCGAAATCGAATTGGGACTGGTCATCTCCAGACTGTCTAAATATGTTGTCCTTGAGGTTCACTTCTTTTTCCGATTCTTTGCCTAAACATTAGTGTTACACTGTTCTCACATATCTGAACCGACTAAATGATGTAACAAAGAAATGAATTGTAAAACTGATTGAAAAAGAGTAACCATGGAGTTTCTTGCTCGTTCTTCTCCATACGAATCTACACTTTGGAACGAGCAAATAGCTTCACTAGAGGACAGACGGACAGATTGACACGTTTACTGTTAAAGCTCTTGAAATGCTTTTTTCCTTTTTTTGCTTGACGTTCAAAAGTGCCTATTGTGGTCTTATTGAAATAAATGATTTTGACTTGACTTTGACTTCAATTATAGTTTTAGTAATCGGATAACTTGTTCAGGAACGCGGCGAAAGTGGAAACTTGCCGGCCACGACGTAATCTTTCGTTCCTTGTTCGAATAGACTTCTACCTCGGTAACAATTAATAACTCATTTCTTACTCTTCCAACGCAGAGTCCGAATACACCCAAGTCGATTTTGGCATGACGTCCCATTTTACAATCTCCGACTTAGATACAAAAAATACAATTTTCCAATCCTTCCCCTCTCCAATCCCTTAAGTGTGGGAGAGCCATGCTTCGGCACGAATCGGTCGGCTAGATCGGAGTAATACCACGGCCTCACAGAAAACCGCCATGAAACAACCACAGCGTTGCGTTTCGCCGTGTGAGTGAGGTTACCGGAGGCCCAATCCTTCCCTTCACCCGACCCTTCCCTAATCCCTAAATCTCCAAAACCCTAACCTCTTAAAGGTCGGCAACGCACTCGTAACTCCTCCGTTGCAGATGTCCATGGGCGGCGCTTATTGCTTACCATGAGGTAATCCGTCTGCTCGTTAGCCGACTTATTACATAAAAAAAACCCTAATCCCCAAAAGATGGGCAACGCGCTTATTACTCCTTTATTGTTGTTGGCGCCGCTGATTGCCTATACCAACGGGTAATACTTCTGCTCGTAGAAAAAAAATACTTAAAACAACTGAGGGAAACATCAAAACAATTTCTAGTTAGTCGTTGTCTTCACTTTTTTAATTTATTTTTGGTATATACGTCACAGGTTAAACAAGGCACGGTACCTCAATACTCAGAAATGGGACAGCAACTTAGAAACTTGTTCCGGAGACTCGCGTCTGATGGTAAGTTACGACAACTCCTCTTATTAATGGTATTTTTTAAAAATTGTTATTTTTCAGTCCAAAACTTTATATTTGACTGTACTATTAGTGCAGGGGCTGGGGTGGGTACTGTGAGACGTGTCGTGGGTTTAATTCTCGAAAGGAGCAACATTTTGTCTGATCCGCAAATTGTTGTATCGGATCTGGTTGTAATGTGTATGTGACGAACAATTCAGGAGAAAATCCTAGTGGACAATAAATGTTTTTTTTTTAACAATTAAATAGTACAAATATTAATTTCAATTTAAGATTTAAATATCTTTCTAAAATAATACTGGTTTATATGGTAATTAATGCAAAAAAAAATACATGACGCCACTGCACACAATATCGTACAAAATTTACATAAACGTGACTGAAAGAATATTCGAAATAAATATTTAATTTTATTAGAATATTTTAATTTGTTAGATGATGGTAATATTATAGGACCTTAGAATTAATTTAAAATTTGTTTCCAGGTATGACGGAGCCCGTAGAGAACCAACTGTTGGCGATGAGCGCCCATTTGATCAAGATACAGGGGTCATCTACACAGGTCTGTAGCCTTTAAGTACATCTATACTACTATTAAAAAGAGGTAAAATTTGTAAGTTTGTATGTAGGGAGGTAATCTTTGGAACCGCTGGTCGTATTGCCAAAATTCTTTCACTGATAGATAGCTACAATGTTCCTGAGTGCTATAGACTATAAAACATCACGCTACGATTAAATAGAGCCGTGCAGCGGGTGAAACCGCGCGAGAGTAGCTAGTGCATAATAATAACGACACAATATGTGCAGAAAATACTACACACTATAATGTCCCGCGGGTTTAAATTAATTTTATTATTTATGTGTGTCTTAACCAATCATGGGACCACAGGGTCCTAGTCTTTTGGGAGGCGTACGAGGGGCCGGAGCCAACGGCCCTTTAGACATCTTTGATCTAAATGAAATGGGACACAAACCGGCGACTATCCCTGTATGCACTATGGAAGTGCACCCAAGGACAGTCCCCGGTTAGTGTAGGACTATTGCGGATAATGGAAACAAGGGATAAGGCTATGGGTGTGGGTTGCTATGGACTGGTATGATAGGAACTATGAAAATGCCTTATCGTTCGTTCGTCATGTGTTATTTTTTTTTAATCTGAATTTACTCTAATGTACGTCTGTTACTGTATTATTTTCTTAATAACAATCTAACGCGGTTACGTAAGAAACTCATTGAATTGAAAAATCTCACTTGACTTTAGGGTTTAATAAAATATGACATCTCACCAGAAGGGGGAGAGAAGTTCAGTTAATTTATAAAAGCACTTTACGTAATACCGTAGATTCCAACTAGTCAAATTAAATACTTTTATCCAAACGTCAAAAACGATACTTTTCTATGAAATTTGTATTAAAAACTGAGCTATGAAGTCATAGCATTTTTGCGTCAAATAGCTTACTTATTTCTTGATAATTAGATAAAAATTATCTTAAACTTTGTGTATCGATCGATTGATGAATAAAAGTAGGTATAGTTATTTTTCAATATTTTATTGTATTGAAACGTCGAATTGCGATCGAGAAAGTATATTTTGTTCTTACTGTGTATGTATTGTATACCTGCTACTTTATTTTGTGTTTTGGCACCGAGTTGTCGCTTCTGACATACCGCTGCTAAACCCTCGATGGTTTTTGCTGGTATGTATATACAAATTAATATGATTGTATCAATGTTGATGTTTAATAAACGAAAAAAAAAAATATTTTTGACCTAGGATACTACCCAATTTACGGACTTCCACTGACCATGCTTATGCATTCAGTAGTATTTGTATATTTAAATTAATAATAATTTAAAATGTATCATTCTCAGCATATAACGGAAGCGCCCGGCCGTCTAGTACTGCCGGCGTCAAGTATATCGCGCGCCGTACAACTGGACTCGGGCGCTGCGGACGCTATCCCCCATGTCGACAAGATGTTCGCATCCACGCAGAACCGGTGAGATACATACAATATTATATTTCTTAATTTTCAAGAATTCTTGTGTTATTTCTCTACAGCTATGAAAGATTATTATGGTGTTAACTTTAGATTTTTCCCTTACAAAGACAATTATATCTAGCATAAACCTTTTAACTTTTCTTTGACGATTGGCGCATTGACTGGGCAATCTGTCGCGGGTTCGATTCCCCATTGGAACAACACTTTTTGTGATCCACAAATTGTTGTTTCACGACACGTGAGAAAATGCTAGAAAAAAATAAATGACTAAGTTGGGGAATTACTAAACGTACTGCAGATTAAATTCTTTTACAATTTAATTATTTCTATCATCAACAAATAAGCAACCATAGCGTTAAAGAAAATGTTGATTAGTAACAATGGCGCTTAGTCATAGAAATAATGCTGTGACCATATAATTTTAGTAAATAAGTGATATTTTGTATACATGCGCAGGCGCACCCACAAGACGTCAGGCTCGCAAGAGTCCCACATGAACACTGAGTGGCAACACATGTTTGGACACTCACACGAACAATCCAGAGGTAACTGTATAAATATTACTTTTATTATTCGATTAGTCGGTAAACGAGCAGATGGATTACCTGATGGTAAGCAATCAGCGCCGCCCTTGGACACCCGCAACACCAACTCGAGTGCATTGCCAGCTCTTTGGAGTGGACGATATTTATGGATTGGAGAAGAGTGGGGGTAGAGGTTACCTCACATACACGGCAAATCACAACGCTATGGTTGTTTCACGCCGGTTTTCCGCGAGGCCGTGGTATCACTCCGGTCGAGTCAAACCAGTTAATTAAATAATTGCAACAATGGTATTGTGACTGAAGTGGTACCACGGCCTAACAGAATATGGGCGTGAAATAACGCGTCGTTTTTAATTACTTAATGTTTAATGGTAACTAAGTCATATTTTTTCTTCTAATTATACTTTTAGGAATATATTTTTATTAGAAATGTGTACTATATTTATTGACGTCAAAATTAAGAGTTCACTATTTGGCACTCACAATAGCACTCACAATACAAAATTTATATAGAAATGTAAAGTAATGAATTTGTTTTCTTGACACTATTCCTATTATGCGCAGTGTCAGAGAGCGTGTCCCAGTCGGTGGGCGTGTCTACAGTGGGCGTGGCCTCGCAGGCCGCGCCCCCGCACCACTCCCAGCTCGCGCACAGCGCCAGCTATGTACAATGTACGTATTATATCCGACACTAAACGTACCGACATTTTAACTTGGTAGGGTTATATTCGCACATATTTTATTTCAACTTAAGACTCGAATACTTTGCTTTTTCTTATATTGACTTTCTACGAATTAGTTTAATTAACTGGCGACCCGTCCCAGCTTCGCACGTATATACAGGGTGTAAGGGACAGCCTTCCGCAAACTGATAGGGTGGATTCAGTATATCGTCTTAAGTTGACCGGTACATGAAATTATTTCAGGAACGTTATGGGAATCCAATTAAACCGATTTGTTTCATTACCTTACACGCAATGTATCGCTACCACCGCAAACGCACGCAGCGAACGGCAGCGCTTTTAGTATTATTACTTACACTATGGGCAGCGCCGCGACCTTACGTTCAGACAAACGGTCGCGCTCGCGCCACGTTTTAATAACAATAAATTATTATTTAAAAGATAGCCGCATTACTTACAAAAGACAATGTAATAATCGCGCTCGCGCCACGTTTTAATAACAATAAATTATTATTTAAAAGATAGCTGCATTACTTACAAAAAAAAATCTAATAATCATAACATGGTAACAGATAAATGATAAAAAAAGAAAAATGCGTAGGTACCTTAGAATCGCTCCGGTTTCCGGCTCTGGAAAGCATTTGTGATGCGGTCTCGCATTTCGTACTCACTTGCACACGCACTCACAAACACTTTTTCTTTTACGTAACCCCACAAAAAGGGGTCCAAATGGGTTAGGTCTGGGGATCGTGCTGGCCACGGTTGCGGTCCAAACCTACCTAAACTACGTTTAAATAGGAAAGCACTGGTAAGTGGTAGCGTCTCGTTACGTTAGCGAACCAATTCCAAAATCCACGTAGGTATTGGTCTTCCGGCGCCTTTTTGTCTGGGAACAATGGGCTGGTTTTCTAGCAAGCGTTGATAGTCACCAGTAATTATCCTGGAGTCTGATGGATGGCGACGGTCAGGATACCTACACTACTACAACACATTATCATCTCCCCATAATCACGCGCGCTAAACGTACCTAGATAGTAATTTCGCACAATTTCTACAACAAAACTTCACTACACTTCACACACTACATAACTAATAAAACTTAACAACACTACTTATAACAAAACTTTTAAGCCGAATGCGCGAGCGATCCGTGCCGACACACGCTCGCGATACACAAACAATAACATCGCAGCAAGGCACAATGGCGACTGCATGTGATGAGACACACACAGACATAAATCTGTTGTTGCCAATTACACGAAAATTACAAAATTTCGGGGTAAAAAATAAAAAATTATGCATGATCGTAATTTATCATTCTGTTATTTTTTGTAGAGAAATGAATTGATTAAATCAATTTAATTCTAATTTCATTGTTTAGTTAATTTAGAATAATAAAAGTGCAGTGTGATAGAAAGCTGTGCTTCCATTCCAGGGAGATTGTGTTTAATTTCTGACTCGACTATCAATTCATGGCTATTGTGAAGCCATGTAAAAATCTGTAAGTAGTTTAAAAACTAGCCAGTAATCGCTTAAAAGAACAATCAATTAATAAATTAGGTGGTATTTGTAAATGCTTTAAAATTAAAACTAGACTAATCTTTATTTATTTCTTATTCAATTTATGTGCGCGACAAGATTTTCATTAATTGATTAATGAAAATCTCATCAACGTAATTATGAATGCAAAGGAGTTCTCAAGTTTTAGATAAATTTCGCTAGTTCTAACATTTTCGTTTACTACCTGAGGTAACAAAAGTTAAAAATTGGCAACACTGGTTCAATCGGGCAAACATTGTGCAAAGAATCGGGGAGACGGGGAGACGCGGAGGCGGGGCGATAGAAAGGGACGCAGCTATTCTGTACGTTGGACGGGATCGTAGGTATTATACCTACGGCGCGCGGCGCGGCGATCGGCGCGGTGGGGCGCCGAGCCGCTGCGCCGTGACCGCGGTGCGGTGAGTTCAAACGACTCGCGCTAGGTAGAAATTGAACAGCTGATTTCATGCGTAGTTCTTTAGAGAATTCACACAACCATTGCGTATTTTTTTGTTTTAGCTGTGTTATTTACATTAATGTTATTCTTCATACATAGAATGTTATTATACATTGAAATAGAGGTGTAGGAACTGAAAAAACGAAAAAAAAAATTGAAAATTTTCCTGAAAGAATTTTCACTGGAATATGATTCAGAATAAGGAGCTGAATGCACCCTGTTAATTTGTGGAGGGCTGTCCCTTACACCCTGTATAAAAAAAGCCACATCAAAATCGTTCTGCAGTCTTAAAGATTTAAGCATACTATACGCTCGGTCGCTACGGTCGCTTGCGGTTCCGCCCTCGTGGATGTCGACACTTTTTCAAGTCTTTTTTTTTAATTTTCTCTACGTACAAACCTTTTCTATTCTTATACGAATAATTCAAGACCAACATTTGCCATATCGGTAAAGCCATTGTTGAGATATAACGTTACAACGAAAAGTAGCATTGATTTTTTTTATATATAGATACTCATTATGCGAATTTACCCCCACCAAGTCAAAATCTTGTTTGCCTTTCATTTATGTATGTACATTAGAATATTATGTTTGGATATTTTTTAAATGCTACCACGTTTGCATGTTGCACGTTATTAGATTGTACAGACAGTTTAACTGTGAATTACGACCTACATAACTTTTTAACGAGCTATCTCGATTAGTTTCGAGCCACGCTGGGACTCATATTAATGAACAACTTGACGCTACGTTTACGTATAACGCGACGTTTTTAACAGAAAGATTATATGGTCCCTTTTGTCCGTTTGTAGGAAAGGTATTGTTTATTATTTTCTTAATGTTTGATGATAACGTTTACTCAATAGTTGGGATAAGCTCAACTTACCTGGTAGAGGTCTCTAGGAGTTGTTGAATGATGGTCGAAGGTCAAGTAATATGGTACCGCGTCCTCGGCCTATAGCAGGAGAAGGAACGGATGCGTTTTAAGTCAGTAAGAGTCTGACACTCCCTCTCGCCTTACCCTGGCCGCGAGAAGTCATTTGATGATTTTCCCCTCCTCAAAAATAGAAGTTGTTGGATGCAGATTACTGATCAAAAAGTCTTTCACATCATCATCAGCCTATAAGTGCCCACTGCTGAGCAAAGGCCTCCTTTCACACAAAGAAGGTTTGAGTATTAATCGCCATGCTTGCCCAAGGCGGTTTGGCGATTTCAAACTTATAATTGGAAATTACAAGTCCAGGTTTCCTCACGATGTTTTCCTTCACCGTTTTTGAGTAGTGTCTTAATAATCATAGAAAGTACATTTAACTCGGAAAAAGTCACATTGGTACTTGCCAGGTTTTGAACCTTCATGCATGAAAAGCCTTAACCTTCGGGTTCCCACGAAGTTTTCAAGAGAGGTGACCTATGTTAAGCAGTGGGAGTCTTGTAGATATGTTGAATTATAATTATGTAATTTTGCGTTTACAGATAGCATGGCACCGTGCCGAGTCGAGTTGAGAGATCTAACAGCTCGTATGCAGCAAAAATATCAGAAGTCTTTAAGGTAAATTCATATTTCTTTTTGCAATTACCCATTTTTTGTTAATAAAAAAGAGCCCTGAGTCACATTGGAGATATTTGAATTTTAAAAATTGTGTGTTAATGATAAGGTTCAGTTTTGAAATCCTCTTTTGTGAGTTAGATCTGTTTTCTATTAAACATGCGATTCGTCTTTATGAATTTGAATGTTGGCCAGAACGAATTAATAGCGTAATGTGGTAATGACAACATTGAAATATGTAAATGATGGCTTGTGTAAAAGGCCAATGTTTAGGCATAATATTATTATATGGATACCTACCATATCCACAGAAAATCTTCACGAGACCAACACTAGCATTGTGTTTTATATTTTCACTGCTATATCATTATGAGTCAGTTGTTAGTGCCGTAGTGGTAGTGTCGTATAGAACCGATATGTCCTCCAATCCTCAAAACCCCAAAAGGACCGGAAAAATAAACATTTCGTTACCCCTAGTACTATTCCCACACGTTTAGAAAGTGCCAACTCCATATTTGGTAGAAACCGAATAAACCTGAACTCTTTAACTGTGATGATCTTTAAGACGTCTGCAAAGCGTCTATGAAAAACAAAAGAGAAACAATCTTCGTAACTATATTTAAATAACAAAATTGAGAAACATCGGTGAAGCCGGTACAAGAGTTATGTAAACGTCAATCAACTACAAGTTTTACATAAAGCGCCAGATGGCAACCTCACGCACTTTGATCTATACCATAACAACAAAAATGCATCCTGTATTTCTGTGTGTGAGTTACTAAAGTCCCAAGACTATGTGTTGAGTTCTTTTATTGTTTTAATTCGGTGTATATTTTACTTACTCGTACAATTACAATAAGAAACGCTACAACATTTTAGATTCAATATTTTTTTTATATATTTTCTCCCTCCCCCAGAAGCCCCGAAGACCCGGTGGAGTGCAATGACGAGGCTGTGCCGCCGGCGGGATGGCGGCCTGGGAACCAATTACTGGCGTACCTACATGAGCACAAGTATGTAACATTACAAATTATTATAAACTAACTGTAATGTTAAGCCCATTATTATGGCATAAACTTAAAATTTAAAAGAACAAACGTTATAATAATACCCAGCTCATATCCCATTTCACTAGTATTTAAGTTTTTCAAATGGCCTCTGCGAGATGCCTGGCCCTTGTATGCCTTCCAAAGGTCTCAAAATCATTTATTCCTAATCCTGAAGCCTGTGGTCCAAAAAATAAATAATCAGGAATGTTAGGAAGCTTCGTAACCGTAACCGAATCCGAATAAAAGTTTTGGATGATATCGGATAGGGGTTTTTTTGTGAGGGGAAAATCATCAAATTACTTCTCCCGCCCAGGGTCGGGCGGGAGGGAGTGTCAGGCTCTTACTGACTAAAAACCCCCCTGTTCCTACTCCTGCTCTAGGCCGAGGTCGCGGTGCCTCATTGCGCTTACCCGGCAACCCCGGCATTGGATAGGGGTGGAACCTAATTGAGACACATTACGTTTGTACTAGCTTTCGTATTTTAATAAAAAGTAGCCTATGTCCTATTCCGGAGTGTATCTTATGCCTATGCCAATTGCATCCAGATCCTTCCAGCCGTTTTTGTGTGATTGAGTAACAAACATTCAAACATCGTAACTTCGCATTGATAATATTAGTAACATTTTACTTTTGAAATTCCTTAAAATTTTAATTTCCGTAACCGAAATTATCCATAATCCATAACATTCCTAGAAATAATACTACTTAATACATTTATACGCAGAGCCCGCGTGAACCAGTTAGTGTGTATCCCGGCGCAGCGCTCAGTGTTTGCGTCGTGCTCCGACGACGGCACCGTCCGACTGTGGGACGCCGCCAGACTACATACCCACGCACATATCAACAGGTAATCTCTACATAGTTTAAAAAAAACTCGCTTTCTCTATCCCTATATTGTTTTTATGTGATACCCGTGCCAAACTAGCTATCGAATTACCTTTTTACATATCGTCGCTTAAGTTCTAACGTCCCGTGTGTGTTGCCATTGCATGGCTCTTTTTTGGTGTTAGTTGGTGGTATTAAATAGCTACAAAATACTTCGACATTTGAGGCATTTTCAAGCAATGTTTGCGGGTGCACGAGGATTTAGAAAGCTAGTCCTTTAGGTCGTTGATTGACTTATCAAGTACTTACATACAATAATGTAATTGTAAATGTATATTTCCAGATCGAAGTCTATGTACAATAGAAACGCAGGTCCCGTGGTCTCCCTGGCCGCGTGTGAAGCGGGACAATCCTTAGTTGCAGCCACGCAAGAATCTGTCTTCGTACTGCGGTGAGTTAAATAAAATTATAAAGTTCTCCGGCGCGGTTTCAGTCGCTGCTCGGCTCCATTTGATTGTGGCGTGATGTTTTATAGCCTATAGCACTCGAGAACATCGTAGCAATAAGTGAAAGAAATTTGGGAATCCGATTAGTGGTTCCAAAGATTATCCCCTACCTACATACAAACTTACAAATTTTACCTCTTTTATAATATTAATATAGACTAGCTCCGCGTTTTCGCACGCTTATAAAAGTAATGGTAAAGCAGCATCTTCAGTGTCTATTCACCCGAATATGTCTATTCCAATAGACAAAAGGAAAATTTGTCAACATCTATTCACCTCTCAAATTCTATTCTCCCCGTTTTACAGTATCCCGGGATTTTAAAATCAACAGCGTTTAAAACGAGTAAAATACGTAAATCTAGTATAATTTATAACCTATGGCACTTAGGAATGTGTTAAGTATCCATCAGATCTGACCAGGGGTTACAAAGGTTGGCCCCTACATACAAGCTTACACATTTTACCTTTCTAAAATATTAGTATAGGTGGAATTCTATAACCGGTCTTTGGATTAATAGTGTTTCGTTTTCACATTCGTTCTTTTGAGTTTTTGACGAAAAAATGTTGATTTATTAATGTACATGTATATATTAATAAATAAGTAAAGCAGAAAAAATATATTAGATGTTATTTCGGATACGGTTTCGAAGCTGAGGCGGGTCGCTAGTTATAAATAAAATTTTGTCTTTTTGAACGTCCAAGAGAATAAACAATGTTAATTCCTTCTCTTCAACCCCCCAGAGTGGACGGCACGTCGTCCCGCATGAACCTGTCGCAGGGCCGGCAGCTGGAGGGCGACGGGGACGACGCGCTCTGCGTCGCGGCGCCCGGACACGGGAGCGTCATCGCATACGCCACGCTCTTTGCCAACATCGTCGGCTGGGATCTACGTGCTCCTGGTAATATTGTTTCTTACAAACTCTTTTCTACTTTTGTGATATTGTTTTTACCATGCTCAATGTATTTTTATTGTAACTTTATTTTATTATCTTGTTCGTTTTGTGTCTTTTATGCTTGAATTTAAGATTTTCTCCTGTCTTAGGTGCTCATCATTTTGTAAATGACACAAAGGGTTGTTATTCAGTAATATTTCAATTTTAATGTATTTTTTGTATAATTTATTTATTACACAGCAAAGGCTTAGCTGGTGCTGATATTAATATCAGGTTATCCGTCTAATTGTCCCCCCATTCCATTAAAAAGTTTCAGAGATAAAATAAACATTTTCTCTTCACAATATATTGGTATATGAATAACAAGTACGTTTTTGTTTCCATCAGGTAACGCGTGGAAGTTGCAAGGCGACCTAAAGCAGGGAGTCACAACTTGCTTGTACGCGGATCCTACCGGGTACCTCGCAGTGGGCACATCCAGTGGCGCCATCTGTGTATGGGATCTGCGATTCCATTTGCCCATCACTTCGGTCAGACATCCTAACTGTAAGTCATTAAATTTCTGTCTTTTTACTAAAAAACGGTTTTCTACAAAAAAAAAATGGAATGGGCCCAATATTGATCCTTGAAGAACGCTCATTTTTATCTTACACTTTTGTGAGTTAACATTGCTGTCATAGCTTTAATCTGATACTTATCTTTTTAACATGATTTCAACAGATGGAGCTCAGTGTTTTTAATCTCATGATGTTATAATTTCAACCAGTTTTTCAGGTTCAATGCAATCGAATGCTTTTGAAAGGTCACAGAAGACACTTTTAAATATTATTTTGTTTTTTTTTTTGTTCGTGTGTAGCGGAGCGCGTCCGTCGTATAGTGGGCGGGGGCCGCGCGGGCGCGGTGTGGGTGGCGGGGGACCGCGACGCGGCCGCCTGGAGCCTCGAGTCCACGCAGCGCACGCACGCACTCTGGACCTGCACCAACTCGCTGCAGCCGCTGCACTACACGCCCGTCGTATGTATACCATATTATGTATTATGTGTTTAATCATACAGGAAGTTCCACAGACTTTCTCTATAATTGATATGAACATCACAGTCTTTGAAGTATTTGAAGAAGGTAATTTAGATAATACCTAATAGGTATGCCTAAATCGTGTATTGAAGTTCTTTAAACTTTTGGCATAGGTGTGCCAATATTCTACTCCTATAAAGATGTTTTTTTATGTGATGGGTAGGCAAACGACCTGATTGATAACTTGATGGTAAGCAATCGGCGCTTCACATGGTCACCCGCAACACCAAAGGGAATGAGAGTTTTGGATATTTAAGATATCGGAAGGGATGTGGAGAGGAGAGGAGGTATTGAACCTCCGGTTTTCTCACTCACATGGCGAAACACAACGCTGTGACTATTTCACGCCGGTTTTCTGTGAAGCCATGGTATCACTCCGGTCGAATTTTGGAATACATAAATAAATATTAATTATGAAATATGGCCCTTCTCAGGCATCGCAGTACATTAGTTCTATATACTGCGGCACTCGCGAGGGCAACCGCTTCGTGGTCACAGGAGGCTCCGACCAGAGACTCCGCTACTGGGACTTGGAGCATCCTGAAGACTCTTATATCCTGCTACATGCGCATAATGATACGCTTAAAAACTCTCCTGGAGCGCTCAAATACAGGTATAATTTAATAACATTACTTATAATTTATATATGTATGTTCATAGTTGTTCTGAATAAGAGTCCCGTAGTAACTCGAAAGTAGTTGAGCTTTTCTCGGTATTTTGGAAGTCTGCGAGGTGCCGAAACCATCTCCGAGATACAGGATACACTATGAAAAGTTAGCCAAAAATTTAATGTTTTCTCACGTTTTTGCTCGAGTTTTTGAAGAGGCTCTTTATAATTTATTTTTTTATAGAAATAATGCAAATGTCAAAGTCAAGATTTGTTAAAGCAAAAGTTATAGGCATATTCATAAACTTAGAGTTTAGGATTTACGATCAATAGATGTCGCTAGTGAGACTTAAGGAACTTTAAATTATAATCTGTGAATCACAAATGCTTTTATGTTTTCTTTATTATATTTTCCAGGAGTCGTATAATAGATGGGACAACAGTGATACAAGAATGTTGTAAGCTCAACCCTTCAACGCCGGCTTCGATGGCAGACGACAATATTTATCGCAGTGTGGAATCCCGTTCTTTCTACCATACGGCACCGATCACAGACCTTAGCGTTGTTGAGGGTAGCAAGCCGTATCTAGTCAGTGCTTCGGCTGATGGCGTCATTAATGTATGGAAATAGATTTTGAAAGACCAATTTTGGTGAGGAAATACTGTATTCTGATTGTGTGTTTGTTTCTGCGATTTGGAACTGAAACTCCTGGTTAGATTTTGATGGAAAAGTCAATAAATAGGTCGATAGTTAGAGGCTAGTTGTTGCAAAAGTGACTGGTTCTTTTTTATGTCTTTACGATGATCTATAGTTTTGTTTATTGGCAGTAAGTTTTAGTGGTTATAACAGGGGTATATAAAATAAATTGGTTGTCAAAATTTCGCTATTTCGATTTCTCATTCCATAAAAATACTAATTGACGCTAAAAGACATGTTAACTTTTGCCAAAATCGAAATCGAGCTTTTGACAATCAAATTTAACTTGCAGGAAGGAGAAACTTGATTTTTTTATAATGCATGCTAAGATTACATTAAAAAATATAACTTTTAGGGCTGATTTTTCAATGGTCTGATAAATGTTATCTGAGGAATAAAATTGTTGCTGTCACTGTCTTATACAAACATTCTGACGCGACTGCATCATAATTATTCTGCAGATAACTTTTATCTAACCATTGAAAAATCAACCCTTAGTATTTTAGACTTGTACAAGTCGCTATTGGACATTACTGGATATTTATAATGGGACTATCGGCGTACAAGGATATTTTTCTGAGGATTTGGACACAAGCTTCATACAAAATCTGTGATTTTTTTTAATCCTTACCGACAGAGTTCGACTTCCCGTATGACTTTGAATCGATGACCGATCAATCATTTTGATCGAACTTAACTTTAATTATGTAAAGATAAAATGCGGCTGAAATCGTAAGGCAAAATTTAGACATTAATGAAGTTAAGAGTTTGGGATTAATGCTCAACGGGTGGCGCTAATGAGACGTAAGGTACTTTTATAATCTGTGAATCAATAGTGTAACAAGCTATTTATATTTGACTAATGGGTAACGGCCAGTCTCATATTCCGTTCATCGAAAGATAATTTAATAATTTTGACAAAACCTTTATACAAACAACGTAACAAATGATAAAATACTCTCTACTATGAAACTGGGCGTTGACATTATCAAATCATGTATTGGTCGATAAAACCTTACGTCATAAGTAAAATAATGATATCGTAACTTCCCTCATTGAGCGGCTAATGCATAGAGTAATTTAGATTATTTATCTGTGATCCTGCTTTTTATATACATAATAAGCGTTTTAATTGTGTTTATAAATTGGTGGACAAAAAAATTAAGGCATTCCTCCAATCCCTAATCACCAAAAGGTCTCCGTTGGTGCGGGTGCCCATGGGCAGCGCTGATTGCTTACAATCAAGTAATCCGTCTGCTCGTTTGCATAAAAAAAACTCCCGTTTTATATTTTTAAATCCAGCTCTTACAAAAGCACTTTTGACACCGTCTTGCTTCTTGATTTGATCTGAGATCATCACTTAACACGGGTTTACTATTCTACCGCCCGGTTTCTGGAAGGCTTGTCAACGCTAAAATTAACTAATCTCCTGTTAAATCTCTTGTCAAGTCATCTGATTGGCTGTTGATAATTCAGTCAACCAATCAGATGACTTGACAAGAGATTAGATTGATTTTAACATTGATCGGCCTTTCGGAAACCGGGTGTAAGTCACTGATTGGAGAGCCTTCCATGAAGAAAACAACATTAAGACATCCTTCCAGCTTTTTCTGAAGTCGATTAGATGCCTTAATTGAATTGTCCACCAGTTAATTAATGTTGGGTTAAATTTTTCAAATTGACGATATTTTATGAGATATCTTTTATATATTGCCCAAATACTAGCTAGGAATAAAAAAAATAATAGCAGTTTGGCTTTTTAAACAACTTAAAAGTATGATGGTGTAATCTATTTAGAATATTTAAATGTTTTGTCCAGACAAATAATTTCCTATTATTATTATAAACTTGACAAAAATATTGTCAATGTGAAAAGTAAAACCTTGTTTATATTTTTAACAGTCAACATAGATAATTGTGAAAGAAAACGACTGAATATAATTGTATCAAATGTATATTTAATAGTATAACTAATTAATCCTTACATAATACCTAATTATAAAAAATCCTCTTTAATATTTCAGTACAAATGTTTGTTTTGGGCCCCGATTCGAGCGCGAAAGTTTTTGGGATGCCCCGAAACAAAGTTTGCACCTAATTATTATTACTGTAGTTGGTAAGAATCTATTTTTGCATAATAAAAATGTTATGAGTATTGTTGATGTTTTATTTTTACAGATAAACTTTTTGCTACATGTATAGTCAATTTATTAATTAACATCATTAACATTTTATTTTTATCATATTTTTTCGTACTCCTTTTTCCCTAATCCCTCTGGATTAAAAAAAATGTTTTCAAAAAATATACATTCCAAAAGTAATTAAAATTAAGCATTGTGCTTAAACTACTGAATTACACTTACACAAATTAGTCCTTAACAGTGAGACAATACAACACAACAGAACATATTATTTTACAACAAAATACCATACCAAGCCATTCCCTAATACAGACAATTTGTGCATAATACCCGCCAAAATCAGTAGCCATATTTGTCAAAAGTGCGAGAAGGAGAGCAAATGTTTAGTACAGGAATCAAGTCTTAATGCCATCCAGTTTTTTCTTTTTCTGTCTGTTGTTGGCAACTGAGTCTCCAATACAATGTTATCGACTATACTGCCAGTGTCGAGTGGTAACGGCAGAGTAGTGTACCGTCAACTTTTAACTTTGTGGTAGTATTTACTTGTTAGTAGCTTATTAAAACTTACACACACAATTAAACAACACAAAAAATAAAAGGGTTTCAATTTAGTTCACTATGAATAAGATCACTAAAATTGACAACAATCGTAGCACCGATAAAAGCACGTGCGTAACCTTCACCACTACCAACGAAAGTCTCCATCTGCCATCCAGTTCTAACTTGGCGAAATTAGGCGGAAAACATTTGTGTCATAAAGAACTAAACTATCACAGATTATAATAAAAATCCAATCGAAAATAGTAGGCAACATTGTATTTTCCATTTTTTTGCAAACTTAGACTACGCATCCATATTAAAGTTTATCATACATTGATTTATCTACTCTACTATATGTACTTTATTTATTATCTTTATCTTAAAACATTATCAAAAAAGGTACTGTATTTCTTAGCTACAAATTTTATCTATCACACGAATACAGCATACACAACCACGATTATAATATTACTATGAAACAACAACTTGTAACACTTCGACTTATAAATAAATAAATCACAGTAAAATCACAGATCAATCTCAAATAACATGCAATACCAGTGTTTATTTCAGAGATAAATTCGCGATTTATTCCTAAGAAATTGTACTTATGATTATAAGTCGAATATCTTCAAGTGAATTGAAGAAATATACAGAAAATAGTCTTCAAAATTATAAAATACATACAATTTAATTGCCGGTGACAATTTGTTTTTTTTTTAAATTAAAGAAAACTAACACTTTTTCATAAAGTATATTACAATACACATCATACCAAAACTAATACTTAACTTCAGGTGTATCTTCCAACAATTTCTCAAGATCCATTCCTTCAAACTTGGGGTTAGATTTGTTAGCAGCGGTGGCAATAAAGAGCTCCTTCAATAACTCTAATTCCTTAGTCAGCCGTTTGGTTGTGTCTTCGAGTTGTTGGTTCTCTTCCTTAAGACGTTTCACTCTTGAGAATGTGTCCTGTGTCTGCTGCTTTGACTTCACCCTGCTTTTCTTGACAGCCTGTAAATTTTAAAACAATTTTTAAGAGATTTTTCCGAATATCTGTGTTAAATACTGCATAAAAATAGGCATAAATTATATTACTATTTACATACAATTAATTTAAAACTTCAAAAAGATGATAAAACTGAACAACTCCCATTACAATGTAAGACCCAGTCCAGATCAATGTATAAAACAGTTACAGTTACAGGGATGTTAAAGTAACAAACCAGTTATGAGATTACAAGCTGAAAGTAGTTTAGTATGTGATAAAATACACATATATGTGTGTAATTAAACCTTTATGGTTTTATGTCCTATACACAAGTCCAAAGTGTAAGACATATTTAATCTACTTAAGTGAGAAACTAGGTTTAGTGCTACTGCGTTCAGTGCAAACTGTTCATATCCTACAAGTTATTGTACAAAGTTGTCAAGTGTTACAATTATTGCATCATCAATGCAAAGTATATATAAATATACACAAAAACAAGTTGCTCAACTTAATATTGACAGCCCTTAATTACTTACTTTTTAATGGAAAAATGGAAAAGAATTAATTTTAATTTGGAATTAAGCCAATTTATTTATATAAATGGGAATGTGACTTACTTATTTCATGAATAATATTGTTTTTTATTTTTTTTTGAAGAAATTTATGTCTCTTTTCAAACATGAAATGCTACAACAAGAAACTATGTACCTAAAAAAAATTGTCTCATAAAGAGTGGTTGCCAATGCAACTGTTTGTTCATAAGTATACCTTGACTAAAAAAAGGGAAGTTATTTTAGTTTTTAATACACTAACATAGGCTTAGGTCAGTGGGTCGTCTTAGGGGCGGAGTTGAAAACGTAAGTAACACTGTTGTAAGTCTTAAATTATTTTGTGTAGGCAAAGGATGAAGTTATGCTATTATTTTATCAATTGATACTACATTCAAGAGGTTCTATATCAAATACTGACCTCATTATTTCTCTCCCTCTTTCTCCTGTACTCCTCATCATCCTCGTCACCACTGACTCCTCGCCTTCCTCGCTTAACGGGTGGCATGTCTAAGAATTCGTCCAAATCGAATAAAGTCATCAAATTGCTTACAAAGTCCGATGCGAAATCGTTTCGCAAAACTGTTTAACACTTTTGTCACACTTCTGTAATAAAAACATACAAGGTTTTATTTAAAAATTAACTATATAGAAACTTGTTTGAGTTTACATGAAATTATGACGCAACATTAATAAAATATTATTTAGGTATAATTTTATCATTGCTATACTTACCAATTTAAGCGCTTTTACACTGATTCGTTATTAATCTTGTCTGATAAAATCCTAAGAGAAAACTTTTCAATTAAATTCACTTGTAAACTACGCACGAGTCGAGTCTTGCCTTGTGAAAATTACTTCGCTGCGATCTTGCTGTACAATTTTATGTCGAATGAATTGAAATTTCATCAGTCGAGTTCGTCAGACAAATGTTGCCAATTTAAAGCTTTTGTACCCAAAAAGTAAATTAAGTCTTACGTTTTTTTTAAAGTTTGTTAGTATTCTGTTAAATCTTTCCAATAACCTTCTTTCACTAAATTTGATTTAAATTCATCAATATACATTTTTCTATACAGATACTTTTGTTAATCTGTTTATATATAAAATTAACCTCAAAATAAGGGAATTCCGGGAATTCCCCCGTGTCGTTGTCGTTCGAGTCGTCTGTCAAGTCAAAAATGAGAATTGAAGTGACATATTAGGGCCTCACAATAGTTTACTCAACATATCATAGATGGTGTTGATTTAAAAATAAAAAAGGATCTATTCTCACAATCTAAATACCTATGTATCTTGCCATTTCAGTGAAACAGAAGAATATTTAAATATTATAAGTATTATCACTATTTGAAACTATTATGAGAAAAGTTATACTTTGTTATTCTGTAATTATTCTCATACACTTACCTACAGAACTTCAGAAGGGATAGAAAACTGCTTATTTGGTAAAATAAAACCACAAGACTCGGTTGTAAACTAATATTTATTGTATTTTTTCATTAAGATTCTGTTTATTTTGAGTAATTGGTATACAATACATTTCAGCTTCTTTTACAATTTCGTGACATTTATTTCATATATTCATTCGTAAGACCTTATTGTACCTACTTTAGTGTTTAGAATAATGAGAAAATAAAGTACATAACGGTTTTTGAATAAATACCATATGGCCAATATTTATAAATTGAGAAAATTTTAAATAATCCACAAATACAAAGTCGAAATCAATAATGATATTTTATAATATTGATTTTTACAAAACCACAGACGAGCATAACTGATAACTGCAGTTTCTAAAAGTAAAATCATAAGACATTAATGTTCATATTTTTTATTTTCCTAATTAACAAATTTTTTCTTGCATTTTAATAAATTTTGTGCATTTTCTCTATGGCATATTTTTCTACTGTGTGTGTTGGTGTTTCGCTGTTTATAATAAATAACAAAAATATAGGACATATTTTGTAGTACAATTACATTTAGAAGATTTATATTTGAACACTAAGTAAATGCTTTATTTTAGGCCCTGGTCACACACCAGCAGAATCACTATGGTTTTCAACTTCAAAATGAGGCTGATTGTTTCACAAAATGAATTTACATTCTACCGTTGCGTGACTGGGGCAAATTTGAAATGATAACACAGGCAACAAACATTATCGTCAAATATAATACCCATATAGGTACATATTTTTAAAACCCAATGTCCAATTTAAAAGTTTTTACTAATGGCATTTCCTCATTGGTTGATGACAGTTCCATTGATAATTTCCTTAGTGCTCCCAAAAATTTGTACGATTTGTTGTTTTATTAAGTATGTTGGCAATTCGAAATTTTCGAAATTATTAAATTTTTGAAATTCGTGATGTAAGTACAAAAGTAAATATTAACTATCTATATAACAATACACATTATATTTATTTTCATGACATTTCAAGATAACAATACAGATAAGCTTGTAGTTTGCAAGTCACACAGATAAAAAATAGTAGACAGCCATAAATAAACTTTTAACAGCAATATGTACTTTTCAAATAGCTGTAGTTATATGATTAGCATAGCTTAACAGCTATTTTATAATAAAAAGTGCATGATAGCTATGATTAAACATATATAAAGAAATAGTATTTATAAATTCAAAAAAATATTGGTACTTTTCTAGTAAATCACAACTTTATATAAATATGCTAAATTTAATAGCTAAAATAACATTCACAAATTCACATAAAACATAATTTCATCAACAATAACATGTTAAACAGAAATGTACTTCATTAAAAAGACAAATAATTAATTATACAATATATTATAAAGTAGGATATATCCATCGGGTATATCATACCTCCTTAACAGTATACATAGTATACAATGTCCCAGATAAGATTACATACCACCGACCTTATGACCCGAGTCATATATTATCTCACAGCTCAAAAGAGATTTATTTAAAAAAATATTTGTAACGGTCGATGGTACATAATATTTCGTAATTTCTTTCTAATTGAGCCACAGAACACTAAATAACAGTCCCTTGAATCCTGTGATCACTTTCACTATTAAAATCACTAGTTACGGCAAGTTTGTTTAATGGAAACTATTTTTTATCATCAGGTATATCTTCCAATAGTTTGTCGAGGTCAATACCATCGAATTTTGCATTGGGTGTGTTTGACGCATGCGCTAAGAAGAGTTCCTTCAAAAACTGTAGTTCCTTTGTTAGCGTCTTGACTTTTTCTTCAAGCATTTGGTTTTCAGCTTTAAGTTTATTTACTCGAGTGAATGTTTCTTGTGTCCTCTGTTTTGACTTGAATCTGCTTTTTTTAACTGCCTGTAAATAAAGAAGATATTGTTATCTTAAAAACATATTTAGTTTAAAAACTCCTTGCTTTATCATTGCATTTCTTATCACTAGTGTTTTGCAGTAAACAATAATAATGACACAAGTTTTTTAACTGTACCATTCTCACTCAAAAACAGTCTCTTGCTTTACACTCACAATTTACTAGTATCACAAGCACAACATTTTTCTTATAAAATCTACAAGAATACTATAAAGAATAAAGTATAAAATATATAAAAATACTAATAGAAGAGGGATGTAAGCCCAGCGGTGCCATTTTGAAATAAACAATACTATGATAGAAACTCAAACAGATATAGTAGAAATGTTGCATAATAATTACGGAGAATACAGAGCAAATTGCACAATCTTTTTTACAAAGACCTGAGAACCTATTCTGCTGAATTATAGATAAGGTTCAATGTACCAGTAATTTAAACACAAAACTAGGTGGAACTATTACACAATATTTTTTTCTACCAGTAATATTTTAATTTTTTCCTCTTTGAAAAGGTAGTTGGGTAAAACCTGTTGATAAAATACAGTTTTATTTTTATTACAAATTATAAAATAAATGATGAACAAAAAAAAATAAATAAAAAATGTGGTGCTAGTGTAAGTGGCACAGTAAATGTTTACAATTTTTGTCTTTTGAAAATTCTATATTTATTTAAATAAAAGTTTGTAAGTGGTATAGAGATTCAATGAATTCAGCATCTCTACATTTATTACCTGCTTTCTATTTTAGTAAGTGAGAGTAATACTGTACACAAGTATTCGGAACCAAAACACCTGGTGTTTTTAATAGAAATGGGATAGATATTCATATTTTTCTTTTCTATAACGGTTACTACCCCTAATGCTACCCATTGACCAATCTTCGCTATATCTAAAAGATTTTAGTCTGCCTATAATTTTATATTTAACTTTGAGGTCAATAATCAATAATCAGTATACTTTTATTTAAGAGCCCTACAGTAACGTGCATCTATGTACCTAGTTATTTAGTAACATAAATGAACCTTTACCTCATTATTTCTATCGCGTTTCCGTCTGTACTCATCATCCTCATCGTCAGCATCACTGACACCACGTCTCCCGCGCTTGGTAGGAGCCATATCGAAGAACTCCTCGAGATCGTCTAATATCATCAAACTGTTTCTACGACAGTAGCCGCTCTGCGCTCTTAAAATTCACGTTTAATATCTTCCAAAACCTTTAATTTAAAACTAAAGTGGAGTTAACTGAAGCCCTGTTTCAATATGTAACTGTATTTTCCAGAAAATTGTGACGCACTGATCGATGTGGTACTTTTACTTTTCAAACTATTTACTTGAGATATTACTCCGTGTTTTTCTTAATAAGTCTTTATATTATCTTCCATAAGTCACTAGATTTCAAAACAAAAACAACAATAATACGTTTGCAAGCTGCTCATAGAATTACTCAGCCTTAGCTCCTGATGCGTAATACTCGAACACAAAATAAAAATAGCTTTCGCTGAAGTTCAATGAAATATGTCAGTCTATTGACGTCATTTATGAAGGCATTGACGTAAGTAACCATAGATAATATTTACTAAGAATATAAAAACTAAACGGAAGTATTTTTTTCATAATTTGAATCAATTTGATACAAAAAATATTATTTTTACTCTAGTGTTTATTTGTAATTTTAAGAGTTCATGTTTTTAAAAACATAGTGGTAACATAAACATAAGTTATAGTATAGCTTATAGAAGGATAGACCGTCTGTCACGTTACGATTTTCCGTTCAGGAATTACAACATAAACAGCGTAAATCACCTGTTATAAATATAAAAGAGTTAATTTATACATGATACAGAGGAAATTAGGTATTTATGTAGATATATATGTGGAAAGGGAGGGAAAATGAGATGCCGCAGTGATAAGAAAAATAAAACAACAACATATCAGACCACAATATAATTCTTTCTTCACGATAAACTTCTAACAATTTACGTAAATCTTATTTACACAATTAATGGAAGCATCGAATGCTAAACTTTCTAATACTGTAATGCTAACCATTGTCAATACATTTTTAACTATACAGACAGAATAATTAAATTGAAGGTAAAATTCCTTAGTCGATTGTTAAAATATTAATTTCTATTTATTCAATTTAATATTTATATAAAGTAACTTAGGTTTTTATTTTGATTTAGGTACTGATCCTAATTACATCGCAGAAGAACACGCAAACATACTTATAATGATCATTAAAACGAAGTATCGATCAGGAATCGCCTATCAATTAGATATCGATTGAGGAAATAGAAAATTAATTACAAAAATAAATGCCAAGTGGAAACTGCTAATGGTATTATTAATTACGGTATCACAATGTGCTGCCCATTCAACTACTGAGAAATTGTTGATGCAAAGAGTAAGGAATCAAAAGCTGATGTATTGGAACCACCACTTCGGTCGTCATGTTGGTCAAGTTTTTGCAGAGTTTTAAACTGACATGACTTAAGCCCACGGAAGCGCCACCTAGTGAGCACAAATATGATTGAGAGCCTTCATTATTGTTACTTTGAAATTATTAAGCACA